TGTTTCCAACCTAGGGTATATCAATTTTTATATCAAATGACCAAGACACAATTTATATGAAACCTTTTAAAAGAACTTTGTAAGGCATTACCCCTTCTCAAAAGCTGTACTGTTCTTACCACCCACAAACTTCTGGAAAAATCAAAAGAACCAATGTCATCCTTAAATTAAAATTAGCCAGACTTTCAGAAATCCTTGAGGTCCCTTGGCTAAAGGTACTCCTAGTCCATAAGGCCATATGATCCATTCCCTCAGAGACACATTGGTTATGTCCCTCTGAAGTGTTAACTGGAAGGCCCATACATTTAGAAATTTTATGCCTGATATTAGACTCTTCTCTGTAGCATGGAGATGTGGCAAAATATTGCAAGTGAATCATGTACTATACCCATGAACAAGTTAAGGCCAGCTTCTCACAACACTTCCTAAATAGGCTCTTTATGGGGCACCTGGGTGGCTCAGTTGGTTGAGCATCCGACTCTTGGTTTCAGCTCAGGTCATGATCTCATGTGGTGTGGGATTGAGCCCTGTGTTGGGCTCCCTGCTTAGTGGGGAGTCTGCTTGAAGATTCTCTCCCTCTGTCCCTCCCCCAACTCGCACGTGCTCTCGCTCTCTCTCAAATAAATAAATCTTAAATAGGCTCTTTATGGTCATCAACCAGGCAATTTCATCTATTGGAAGAGACATTGGATAAAAAATGCTCTTGAACCTCACTGAAAGGGATCTTATCAGGTGTTATTATAAATCTTGCTAATATTAAAAAAAAATCAATGTCATTAAAAAATATAAGCAGTTGTGGAAACAAAGTCTACTGACATGAGAATAAACAGATTGTTTATTCAGAACTTAATATAGGAAAGATTTCAGCCACCATCCCTTACATTTGGCAGAGACTCAAAGACAGGAGGGGAGTGAAAAAGATTTATAGTGAAATAAAGGAAGACTTTAGAAACACCGATTAGAAGTTGGAATAGGGAAGCTGGAATTAGGCTAAGTAGAAGCAGGACATCTTATGGTTTGGGGAGCACATCTGGCTTATATTTGGACCACCCAGAGAAATCTATATAAACAGCTTTCTTGAGTATAACTGACAATGAACTTCACATATTTAAAGTGCACATATCACCTGTGTTATATACATACATATCTGTGAAACCATTATCTATATATCCATTACCCTCTAAAGTTTCTTTCCTCCTTTATATCTCTCTCCTGTTTCCTCCCTTTAATAGATACAGAGCAATTCATCTTATCCATTTTTTTTTCTTGAGAAAGCTTTGGTAATTTATGTCTTTCAGGAAAGTTGGCCATTTATCTGTGTTATTAAATTTATTACCATATAGTTGCTCAAAATACATTCTGTTAGTGTCTGTAGAATATTTCACCTTTCTCATTTCTGATATTGGTAATTTATAGGTAGTTTTCCTGATCAATTTGTTTAGAGGTTTAGCAATTTAATTAATCGTCTCAAAGATTCAACTATCACTGTCATTATTTTTCTTTATTATTTTGCCTTTCTATTTTATTGATTCTGTTTTATCTTTATTATTTTATTTCTTCTTATTACTTTGGATTTAACTTTTTAAAATTTATCTAATTTCTGAAGTCATTGATTTGAGACTTTTTCTTCTATATAGGTGTTTAGTGCCATGCGTTTCTCTTGAAGTACTATTTCTGTTACATTCCACAAATTTTGGTATCCTGTATTTTCATTTTCATTTAGTTCAAAATACATTCTGGTTTGATTTCTTGTTTGACTAATGGCTTTTTAAGATGTATACTATTTTTTCCCCAAATTTTGAGGGATTTGACAAGAATCATTATGTTACTGATTTCTAATTTAATTACATTGTAATCAGAGGACATTTCTACTATGACTTGAATCTTTCTACATTTATTGAAATTTGTTTTATGGTCCAGGTTATTGTTCATCTTGCTAAAATTTCTGTATGTACATGAAAAGAATGTGGATTCTGCTGGTTGTTGGACTAGTGTTCTATGAATGTCAATCAGGTCATAATCGTTGATAGTGTTGTAAAGTCTTTTATAACCTTGCTGATTTTCTGCCTATTTGTATTATAAATTGTTCAGTGAAGGGCATTGAAATTTCTGATTGTAATTGTGGACTTTTAATTTTATATTGCAGTTCCATCAGTTTTTGCTTCATTTATTTTGAAGCTCTCTTATTAAGTGAATAATATTTAGGATTTTTATATACTTTTGACTTAATGTCCTCTTCGCCATCATGAAATGATTTTTTTTTTTTAATCCCTGGTAATATTCTTTGCTCTGAAAACTAGTTCATGTAATACTGATGAAGCCATTCCAACTTCATTTGACCAGTGTTGGCATGATATATCTTTCTTTGTACTTTAAAATTCAGTTTTTATATTCATGTATGTTTCTTCTAATAGACAGCAATTAAAAAAAATCTAATCTGACAATCTCTGCCATTTAATAGGGGTATTTAGACCATTTACATTTCATGTAATAATTGATATGAATCTATCATCTTGCTATTTGTTTTGTATTCTCCCACCTGTTCTTTGTTTCCTTTTTTTTTTTATTAAAGATTTTATTTATTTATTTGAGAGAGAGAGAATGAGAGACAGAGAGCATGAGAGGGAGGAAGGTCAGAGGGAGAAGCAGACTCCCTGCCGAGCAGGGAGCCCGATGCGGGACTCGATCCTGGGACTCCAGGATCATGACCTGAGCCGAAGGCAGTCGCTTAACCAACTGAGCCACCCAGGTGCCCCCTTTGTTTCCTTTTTTTGGACTTTTTCTGCTTACTTTTAGATTAGTCAAGTAATTTTTAGTATTTTTAGTATTTAGTGTTTTAATGGTGGCTTTAGGTTTTATGATATACATATTTAACTTATTACAGTGTACCTGCAAGTAATATTATACACATCAGGAATAATATCAGAATCTTATAGTAGCAGACTTCCATTTTTCCCCTCTGGCCTTTATGCAATTGTTGCCATGCATTTTACTTTTACATATATTTTAAACCTCACAATACATTTTTATTATATTTATTTAAATAGTTACTTTTAAAGAATTAAAATAATAAGAAAAATAATTGTATATATTTACTCCTACAGCTATTTCCAGTGCTCTTCATTGTGTAGATTCAGATTTCTATCTGGTATTGCTGTCCTTCTGTTTGAAGTATTTATTTTAACATTTCTCATAGTGAGGATCTGCTGGTGATAAAGTCTATCAGTTATGTGTGGAAGCATCTTTATTTTATCCTCATTTAAAAAAAGATATTTTTGTCAGATATAGAATTCTAGGCTGACAGTTTTTTTTTCCTTTCAATATATTTAACTGTTCTGTCTTCTCACTTGCAATGTTTCTAATGAGAAATATATTATCCTTATTTTTGTTTCTCTGTAATGTTTCTCTCTGAGTGCTTTAAAATTTTTTATTATCACTGTTTATTAATGTGTAATTTATTATGTACACTGATGTAATGCTCTTCATCTTTCTTGTGTTTAGGTTTTGTTAAGCTTTTGGAAGGCAGGTTTGTGAGTAAAGATGCGATAGAAGGATTGAATTAGCAATGGGAGCTTATGGAAATTCTCTTCAGATTGCTTCAGTGTTCAATGAATTAGGAAGCAAGATCACTGGCTGAGACTGGGGATAGAGGATGATATATTGGATGTGATAGAAGGTATAAAGTTGTCATGTAGGAAGGTAGGAGAAATCAGTGGAGGGGGAACTTTAATATGGTTTTTGGGCATCTTAAAGGGCACACTTAAAATTAGTGATCATGAATTTAAAGTCAACATGGTTGGGTGTTTTTCTTCTTCCAGTTTCAGTTGCAAAGGTGCAGGCACTTAATATGTAGTTTTGCTAAGGCCAGAATTGTGGCTTTGCCCAGTATTACAGTAATTCAGAGAGGGGAAGGGAGTTGAGGATGTATGCAGGGAATGATTATATTGATTCATCAGTGAATATATCTACATCAATAGATGTAATATCTATTTCCCAATCAGAGTGGAAACTATTAGAAGGCAGTTCTTAGCATCTAGAAGGTGCTGAATATGTATTTGCTGATCCCTGTATGGATGTGTCTTAACAGTAGAAAACCAGGGACTAAAGGAAGCTGTCATATTGGAGCAAATTAACTCCGTTTTCAAATAAAATGCTTGTAAAGTCCTTCACATGGCCCACACAGCTCTTCCTGTCCTGGCTCTAGCCTATTAAATCAGCTTCCCTTACACCAAGCTCCCACTGCTCTCTCATCTTCAGATACGCTGAACTTCTTCCAGTTCTTTGCACGTGCCACACAGCTTCGCATATGTGCCTCCCTCTGCAGGGATGTTTTATTCTTCCCTGGTAGCTGACTCATCTACTTTTCAGTTTTCCTGAATAATTCCTACAAATACTCCTATAAATTTAGTATCTAGTAAGTATCTTCTAGTACTTGTCACAGTTCTAATTTTACATTTGTGTCATTGATAGCTGTTTACTACTATGCAGTTAGCCTACTGAGGACAGGGATCTTGACTGTTTTTAGGTCCCGCAGGACCTACCATAGTCTGTGGCACATATGTAGACAGTATAAACATTTTTTTGGGGAAAAAAAAAAGGTGAAAGTAAATGTTATATGTGAAGCTTGGTGTGGAGAGCGACATCTGTCTTTTACAAAATTCACGAGAAACTGGCTAGTGCTACATGCCGACCCCTCCACAGCTTTGCCCTGAACCTTCCAGAGAGCACGGGGAAGAAAGAAGGACGCACAGAAGCCAACTCGTCTTATAATTTCTGCCAGACTTTGGGAGGCGCCTGCGCACTGGCCTCACCGGATATACGCCAGGGAGTGGGGGCGGGGCTCGGGTAGCCTAGGCAACATCCCGGAAGTTGCGGGCTGCGTTAACCTGTGGCGGGCTGGGCGGTTCTGGAGCCTGAAGTTTTAGTGGCGGTGGAGGAGGCCGTCGGGAAACGGCAAGGCAGGTTGAGACGACGTGGCGGAGGCCTGCAGCCTGTAGCCCCTGCGAGCCTTAGGGACCGGGCTGCAGGGCGAGGAAAACGGTGGTGGCGTCTCCCTTCTGTTCCCTGGGGCTCTAGGCGCCTGGGTGGAGGATCCCTACATCGGAAAGCGCGCCGTGACTCTGTGTTTTGCGAGTGTTTGTGTGTGTCAGGATGAGTGTCTGGGTGTGTTGGTGTCTAGCGCGCTCCCCTGAGGCGCACCCTGAGTGTGCGCAGCGCTGTCGGGAACTTGTGCACAGAGCTGGAAGTTGGGGGGTACCGTATTGTAGCTATCAAGGAATTTGCAGTCTAGCAGGAGACAGGCTACCCGGGGTACTTGGGGACAGGGAGGGTCATGTTAGTCGACTGGATGGTCAGGAAAGAGTTTATCAGGAGGGGCCGCTGGAGTGAGTTTTGATTAGTGAGTGGAGTTACGCTTGGAGAAGGGAGTGAAAATCTGAAGGGTGTTCCACGCGGAGCAGAAAGGATGGGTGGAACGACTTGTGAAGGCAGAGTTTTATGTGTGGGAGGGTGAGAGGAGCACAGACTGTTAAGGAGGGTCAGCCGGACCACAAGGAGGGCAGAGGGTCCGAGTGCATATTGGATTCCTCTCTGTAGGGGGGAGCCATTAAAATCTTGTGGGGAAGAAAGTAAAGGGCCGAGGGCTATACTCTATCCTTATATCGGGGTAAAATACTGATTGCAGGGACAGTGTTTGGAAAGGGGTCCTGTTTCCCTTTGGTCGGTTTTCCACTAGCCAGAGTGGATTTGCTAAATCTCATGGTAACTCTCCTTACCTGATATCCTCCAGTGGCTTCCTATGGGTTCTTTAGGATAGTGTTTAAATTGCTGTAGCTTAGAAGGCCATGATCTGTCCTCTGCCTTTCTTTGTAACCTCTTTCTAGCCTCTCACCTTTTCAAATCTGTTAGTCAAACTGAACTTCTCAAACCCTTTGTAAATGCCTTTTCTCCCTCCTGGAACATTCTTTCCCCCACTTCTAGCTTTATTCATACTTTAGCTCTCAGCTTAAACATTTTGGGAGCAATTAGAGGGATATAGTGGTCTTTTCTTACTGTGTAGAGTAAGCTAGGTATTAACATGACACTGTAATTACTCATTTTAATTGTGGTCTTCTCATAAACCCTAAGCTCTGTGAGGGTGCAGACTATTTTACTTTCTTGTTGTATTTTGTGCCTGGTTCTTGGCAGGTGCTTTCAAAATATTTGTTGAAATAATGGGTAATAAAGTGGCAAATGAGTGAAGAAGTTCAATTAGGAGAAAGAGTTTGGACAAAAACATTTGTAGTAGAGATGAAGAGGGGACAGATGAGAGAGGTATTTCAGGAAAAGAATGAATAGATTCCGGTATCTGATTGGCTAACAGACAAGAAGGAATAGAAGGTGATGCTAGGGTTTTAAACTGGAGCAACCAGAAGGATGGTAATTCTGTAAGTTCAGTTGAGTTCAGACATTTACTGAGCATGCCAATTATATATCAAGAACTAGAGGTTGGTGGGGAGGGGACATGGATGATAAGCTGTATTTTTGACTACATTGTATGTGAGATATTTGGGAGATAGACACAGAAAGCAGTTGGAAATGAGCATTTGGTGTGTTGAGGAAAAATGTGGATCCTTAATTTGGGGCTCATTTTCACAGTGTGTTTATGTGCCCAGTGCATTTGTAGCTTTGTTCAAGGGTATGAGTGAGATCACTGAGGGAAGATGTGAACTCCTTTCTTACTTTCTAGTAAGCTCCATGAGAGCTTGTACCATATTAGACCTGTTTACTGTTTTATCTCCCGTGCCTGGTCAGTGTCTGGCATGTGACAGATTCTCAAAAACAATGATTGGATGAAGAGAGAGGGTATCCAATGGAAAGATAAGAGGGTTGGGATAGAACTGTGTGCAGCTTTTTGATTATGTGGTATCTGAGGGGCCAACAGAGCCTGCAAAGAGGAGACGAATAGGAGAGAAACCGAGAGAGTGTCGTGGAAACAGGAGTGGGAGTCTTTAGAGTTGGAAAGGGTTTTCCAATAATTTTATCAGTTAGGAAAGTATTAATATTTTAGATTTTTTTCAAATAATTTTATCAGGAAAGTATTAATATTTTAGATTTTTTTCAAATAGGCCTAGATTTTCTGGGCTGTGCTGATTTTATATTCCTTAGTACTATAAACCATCAGAATATCTCTACAGTCTCACACTTAAGCATGTAAACTATAGCTCCCTTACGATATCTGATTTCTGTAAATAGCTCAAAAGCTCTTTGTTAGACCACAGAGTCTGATCCTGGGTTAAGAAAAATATGCCCACTTGTATTGATGATGTTTAAGAGAACACTTCTCAGTGCAAGGGTGGTTCCCACGTTACAGCTTAGTTCTCCCTTTGTGATCTTAGCACACACAGGCTGGAATTTAGAGTTGGCCAGTATATTAGTCTCCTACGCTGTATAACAAATTACCACAAACCTAGTGACTCAAAACAATACTCATTAATTATGTCATGATTTCTGTGAGGCAGGAATTTGGACATGGTTTAGCTGGGTAAGGTGCTTAGGGTCTCACAAAGTTCTGATTAAGGTGTTGATGGTCTGCATTCTCATCTAGAACCCAGCTTGGGAAAAGTCCGCTTCGAGGCTCACCTCACTTAGGTTCTTGGCAGAATTCATTTCCCTGGGACTGTGTGCCTGAGGGGTCTCTTGACTGACTTTCCCCTCTGGCTGCCCACAGTTGTCTGAGTTCCTGGCCCTGTGGCCCTTTTCACAGCCAGTCACTGTGGCATTTGGCTTCTTCACGGCCAGCAGGAGACACTCTCTTGCTCTGCTCTTTTTTTTTTTTTTTAAAGATTTTATTTATTTATTTGAGAGAGAGAGAATGAGAGACAGAGAGCACGAGAGGGAAGAGGGCAGAGGGAGAAGCAGACCCCCTGCTGAGCAGGGAGCCCGATGTGGGACTCGATCCTGGGACTCCAGGATCATGACCTGAGCCGAAGGCAGTCGCTTAACCAACTGAGCCACCCAGGCGCCCTCTTGCTCTGCTCTTGTAAGACAGAGACTTGTATAGCGTAATGTAATCGTAGGAATGACCTCTTCTCACATTTGCCTTGTTTTATTGGATAAAACAAATCACAGGGGGAAAAAACCCAGAACAAATCGTGGATCCTGTCCAAACTCAAGGGTAAGGGGTCATACGATGGCATTATTCATTGCATTTCATCTTAGAGTAACCACAGCCAGCTTTGCTAGGCTCAATTGAAGTTAAAAAAAAAAAAAAAAGGGAACAGTAGTAGGCTGTTGTAGTCCATTCAGACTTCCATAACAAAATACCGGACACTAGGTAGCTTATAAACGAGAAATTTTTTTCTCACAGTCTGGAGGCTGTGAAGTCCAGGATCAAGTCTCCAGGACGGTCATGTTTGGTAAGGGCCGTCTTCCTGGTTCCTAGCCACCATCTTCTTGCTGTGTTCTCACATGGTGAACGGGGTTAGGGAGCTCTTTGGAGCTTCTTTTATGACAGCCCTGGTCCCATTCATGAGGGCTCTGCCTCCCAAAGGCCCCACTTCCCAAAGGCCCCACCTCCTAATACCATCACTTTTGGGGGTTAGGATTCAACATGAATTTTGGGGGAACACATTCACTGTTTTTGTCAGTGAATATGGGGTTTTTTTGGATGTTACATTTTCTTATGCTAAAGTTGAAACCTGTTCACGTTACCACAAATAATACTCAGGCATTTGTTCAGTATTTTTTTTTTTTAAAGATTTTATTTATTTATTTGACAGAGAGAGAGAATTAGCGAGAGCAGGAACACAAGCAGGGGGAGTGGGAGAGGGAGAAGCAGGCTTCCCGCCGAGCAGGGAGCCCAATGCGGGGCTCGATCCCAGGACCCTGGGATCATGACCTGAGCCCAAGGCAGACGCTTAATGACTGAGCCACCCAGGCACCCCTAAACATTTTTCTTAATACAGTTTTAATGGATGTATAATTCATCCAACAGATTTAGTGACATTTTATGATTCTTCTTTATTTCTGCAGAGTAAATTGAAGAGTAAAAGAGTTAAAAAGTAAAATACATTATTTAAAGAGTAAAATACATTAGAAACTGTTTCTGAACAACTGTTATATTTTTCCATGTCTTTTTAAAAATAATAGCTTTATTAAGATATAACTTACCATGAAATTTACCCCTTAGAAGTCTACAGTTCAGAGCTTTTAAATAAATTTACAGAGTTGTGCATTGATTACCACTGGCTCGTTTTAGAACATTTTTATCACCTCAAAAAGAAACCTCATACCCATTAGCAATTACTCTCCATTCCCTCCTCTTTCCAGACCCTGCCAACAGCTTGTCTATTTTTTGTCTCTGTGGATTTGCCTAACCTTAGACATTTTATATTAATAGAATCATACAATATACGGCCTTTGGTGTCTGGCTTCTTTTTCTTACCTTAATATTCTCAAGGTTCATATGCTATGCTATAGCATATATCATTACTTCCTTATATTGCTAAGTAATATTCCATTGTATGGATATACCATATTTTATTTATCCATTCACCAGCTGGTAGACATTTGGGATTTTTCTACTTTTTGTCTATTAAGAGTATAATGTTGCTATGAACATTTATGTGCAAATTTTTGTATTGACGTAAGTTTTCAATTATTGGGCATATACCTAGGACTAGAATTGTGGTAACTGAGTTTAACTTTTTCAGGAACTGCCAAACTGTTTTCCAACATGGCCATGCTATTTTACATTCCCACTAACAACAAATGAGTATTCCAGTTTCTCTACATTCTCGCCAACGCTTGTTATTTCCACCTTTTTGATTATAACCATTCTAGTGGATATGAGGTGGTATGTCATTGTAGTTTTGATTTGCATTTCCCTAAAGCCTAATGGTGCTGATCATTTTTTCATGTGCTTATTGGCCAATTGTAGTATCTTCTTTGGAGAAATGTTTATTTAGCTCCCTTAGCCATTTAAAAATTGGAATATTTGTGTTTTTATTGGTGAATTTTAAGTTTCTTTTATATATCCTGGATCCGGGTTTCTTATCAGATGGGATTTGCAAATATTTTCTCCCATTCTGTTAGCTGTCATTTCATTTTCTTGATGGTATTTTTTGAAGCACAAAAGTTTTAAATTTTGATGGGGTCCACTTTATTTTTTCTTTGGTTTCTTGTGCTTTTAGTGTTATAGCTAGAAACCATTGCCTCATGAAGATTTATGCTTATGTTTTCTATCAGGAGTTTTGTGCTTTTAGCTCTTACATTGAAGTTGGTGACTTATTTTTAGTTAATTTTTACATATGTTGTGAGGTAGAGGTCTTAATTCATTCTTTTTCATATGGATCTCCAGTTGTGCCAGCACCATTTATCAAAAAGACTGTTCTTTCTCTGTTGAATTGTTTCTTGGCACCTCTGTTGAAAATAAACTGACCACACATGTGATGAGCACTGGGTGGTATACGCAACTGATAAATTATTGAACACTGCCTCTGAAACTAATGATGTACTATATGTTGGCTAATTGAATTTAAATAAAAAATTAAAAAAAAAAAAGAAAAACTGACCATAAATGGAAGGGTTTGTTTTGGATTTTTAGTTCTATTCTATTCTGTATCTTTTACTTGTTTGTTTATTTTTAAAATATTTTATTTATTTGAGAGATAGAGTACGTGCAGGGGAAAGGCGCAGAGGGAGAGGGAGAAGCAGACTCCCCACTGAGCAGGTTGCCCGAAGCAGGGGAGGCGCTTGATCCCAGGACCCTGAGATCATGACCGGAGCTGAAGGCAGATGCTTAACTGACTGAGCCACCCAGCGCCCTGTTTATTTTAAAAAGAGGTATTTCTATTTACTTGACAGAGACAGAGTGAGACCGTGCACGCACATGAGTGGGGGGAGGGGTAGAAGGTGAGAATCTTTAAGCAGACTCCCCGCTGAGCATGTGGAGCCTGACACGAGGCTCCATCTCTTGACCTGAGATCGTGACCTGAGAGGAAACCAAGATTTGGTTGCCCAACCAACTGAGCCTCTGTTCCAGGCACTCCTCTATTCCTTATCTTTTAAAATGGCATTTATGGTTCTGCCACTTACTGTGTGACCTTCACGGTTGGTTAGTTCTTTGTCCCTTAGCTTTCTCATCTGTAAAATAAATAGTAAATACTTAATGGAATTACTGTTAGGATTAAAGGAAATACTGTGTGGGAAGAGCTTGCTTAGAACAGTACCTGACTCGTGTTAGCTAATGCCATCATTATCACCACCTCCACTGTCCTCATTACCATCATCATAAACCAATTAAATGTTATTCTTAAATGTCACTTATCTCTTTTGCCGGATTGTGAACCCTGAAAATAGATAACATGTTTGAGGAGTCAATGTGATTGACAAGACAAAGCAAAGAGGACTGAGGAGAAGCTCTTGAAAATACTTGCATTTAGATGTTTTTAATTACTAAATCATTTTTTTTAAATGTACTTAAGGAAGATACTACCATCTTTATTTTAGGATAATTTGGAATAAGGGGGTCAGCTCGAAAGTTCTGTAATGAAAGTGTGTAATGAAGTTTTAGAAAAGGTGTCATGTATATGTGTTGCTTGTTAAAAGTCACACATATGTATTGTAAAATCCTAGTGTACAGGGACTATGAGTCTTATTCTAATTTTGTGTGATATTTAGTCCAGTGTTTTAGTCCAGTGTCCTTAGCATTGCTATTTTAAGAGTGCCAAGCAAATGTTGGCAATTTCCAAATGCTAGTTTAGTATCAGTAATTACCCCCACTTAGTATTGTGTGGAAATATACTAGAAATGATATAACTCATTTGTTCTCTAAAATTTAGCCACCTTTTTTTAGGTAAACACATATGTATCTGGTAGTGATTTTAAGTGCTCTTTGCCTTTTTCCTTTTGCTTTCAGATTGTTAGCCTGTGACTGACATTTTCTCTGTTTTTTTTTTTTTTTTAAAGATTTTATTTATTTATTTGAGAGAGAGAGAATGAGAGAGAGCACATGAGAGGGGGGAGGGTCAGAGGGAGAAGCAGACTCCCTGCCGAGCAGGGAGCCCGATGCGGGACTCGATCCAGGGACTCCAGGATCATGACCTGAACCGAAGGCAGTCGCTTAACCAACTGAGCCACCCAGGCGCCCGACATTTTCTCTGTTAATGGTGAAGTTTGTAACTGATGACAAAGCTTATGCCTGTTGTCGTAGGTCTGTGCTTTAAGTCATAATTTGTATTCCTGGAGTTCTTTATTAAGCAAATATACATAAGTTATCAACTTGAAACCTGTTTTATCATAGTTATCAGTACAGCTTTCTAATTGTGAAGTGAAAGAACCAAGTATTTTGGTAGATGGTTCTTTCATTATGCTTAAATTTTTCTTCTGACACTTTAAAGTTTATTTTCCTAGATGTCTTTGTCCCCATCCAGTGATACTTAATTACCACTTTTTCTTGTATTTTAAAAATTTGATATGATTATTGCTTCTAGATGTCACTTGTCAGAGTGAACCGTTATGGTCCTCGGGGAGGAGGAAGGAAAGTGCTGAAGGTAAAGAAGAAGAAAACATCAGTGAAGCAAGAATGGGATGTAAGTCTAGATGGGATAATAAACCTGTCAGATTGCTCTGGAGGAATAGATGTGATGACATGGCCCTGGTCACTTGAGACAGTGCTCTGAATGTGATAGGGTGGAATGGATTTCTGGGCGCGTTATATCCCAGATCCTGGAAGGAAGAGCAGAATCCTTTGGGGATTTTTTAAGAATCCACATGTCAAGGTCATAACCTGTACCTCTTTTGAAGAGGGAATCTTAAGAGGGTGGGGAGTATGTTTTTAAAAAGTCGCCTTGTCCTCCACTTTGAGAACACACTGCTTTAAGGCAACTGGAGCTAACCTGTGTCACTGAAGTCTGAATTTTTTTTGGTACTTTTTAAAGATTTGCCCATAGCAACCAGTGACATCATAATCATATGAGCGGCATTTTTGGCTGAAAAAGCGGGTGATTCTTGCTCTCTTACTTCTTGAACTGTTTGTTTTTCACCTCCAGAAGCTGGTCAGTTTCAGTACAAAGATTCTCTTAAGATGTAAGACAAGTCTCAAGTACCTGGGAGATAGGATCCCTGGCTCCCACTCTGATTACTGTTTGGTATTATCAAGGGCATCTTTATCTTTCACAGCTTGGTACTTTAGTTTGAACCGTGACACTTTAGGTGTCTTTTCTTTCTGTTGTGGAGAGCAACTAGTTAGGGACTACTTTGGATCTCAGGGATTCTTTTGGACTTGGAAACTTCTGGGCAAACTGACAGCCTTTTTGAAGTGGCTCAGGGGACTTAACCTACGTTTATATTGCTTTGTTGTCATCTGATTGGCTATAAAATATTATTAGGGTGTGATTCTAAGGCAATGAAACTGATTAAAAGGAAAAAAATGCATGTGATAACTTAAAAGTTATCCACTTCAGAGTGGTTACTATGGGAAGTTTAGTATTTATTTTGATTTGCTGCTATTGCTCAAAATATAATTGAAACCCACCATTTGAAATTGCATTTTCCTCATTTGCTTTTTATTATCTCCAGTGCTGGAAAAATCTGTTTTTTGTAGACTAAGCTTGGAAGTAGTTTTAAGTCATTGGGAGTAAATAGTAAATGAAGGAGGAGAGATCAAACTGAATAATACTATTTTGATAAAAATAGTGAGATGGTTTTTGAAATGGCTTATAAATTATATTTAAAAGCCATTTCAGAAGAAAATCATTTTAAGCAGTAGTAGTATTAATGAAATTATATTATCGCCCATGAGAACTAAGTCCAAGCATATCCCTTATATGCCTGAATTTTATTATGATTATTAAAAATCTCAAGATCTTATGGTTATATCTTGTGCTTTTCTAAATTAATATGAAAGGAATAACAGTTTTAGTATAGAAAACCCTTGAGCTAAATATAAACTATGGCCAAAAAGTTAAGTCTTTGAAGATATCAGAATCTATTTCACCAGATCCAGTTCTCTGTGTATCTGTTGGAAGTAGAACTCTAACTTGTTTTATTTCCTGCCTTACCAAATCTGTATAACAAAATGGCTGAAGTCACTTTGGAGAGGGCCAGATTGCTGGGCAGCTACTTCAAGCTGTGTAGGTTATGCATTGCACAATCCCAAGGGGTACTGTTTACATGGACCAGAATAATAATGGTAGCTCCTGGGGTTGTGGGGTGTGGTAGACCTGCCATGTTGGTTTAGTGCCTTTTACATAAGTGACTGTTTTCACGTTTTATGAAATTATACAGTGCCCTCAAACGTTATCCCTTATTATGTATGATATATTCTATGCTTAAGTTGTTTGCATGCACACAAATTTAACCCCTCTATAGTGATAACAGCTTATCTTTTAGGAATCTTTAGAGGTGCCTCATTCTCTGGAATGCAGTTTGAAAACTACAATTTTAGTTAAACTTACTCATTTTGAATTACATAACTACCCTGTTTTATTCGTTGTTTTAATATAATATATGCCTGCTTGGTAAATTTAGTGCTTATTTTCTGTAAGATACCTAAAAATAGCCTATTATTTTTTAATAAGAAAACTAAAAATAATCCATATTAATATTTAAATTGAGAATACTGGTTCCTGGACAGGAAGTCTTTTTCATCCCAGGACTTTGAATCTGTTTTCAGCCTCTGTTTTTTTTAATTTTAATTTTAATTTATTTATTTATTATTATTATTATTTTAAAGATTTTATTTATTTATTTGCTAGAGAGAGAGAGCATAGGTGAGAGAGAGTGAGTGAGTACAAGCAGGGGGAGCTTTAGGCAGAGAGAGAAGCAGGCTCCCTGCTGAGCAAGGAGCCCAATGTGGAACTCGATCCCAGGATCCTGGGATCATGACCTGAGCTGAAGGCAGCCACTTAACCGACTGAGCCACCCAGGCGTCCCTATTTTTATTTTTTTAAGAGACTTTTTTTTTTTTTTAAAGATCTTATTTATTTATTTGACAGAGAGAGACACAGCAAGAGAGGGAACACAAGCAGGGGGAGTGGGAGAGGGAGAAGCAGGCTTCCCGCGGAGCAGGGAGCCTGATATGGGGCTGGATCGCAGCACCCTGGGATCATGACCTGAGCTGAAGGCAGACACTTAACGACTGAGCCACCCAGGCGCCCCTGTTTTCAGCCTTTAAAATCTAGTATGTACTCGTACCTGACCACATATAAATGAACAATGTAAGTTCATAGGTGTGACATAACTCTCTGAAGAATGTGAACAAATATGGTAAGAAGTTTGAATAATAAAACTAACATTTCATTTTAATTTAAATAAACACTTTTGTTTTATGTATTATGTAAAAATAGAAATAATTTTATTTCAATTTAAAATAGCAATTTTATCTTGCTAAATGTGATGATCAGACAAATCCCTTAACTCTTCAAAGAAAGGTTTCTTGGAGGTTAGCATGCTTAGTTAAGTACATAATTTTTTAACTGAGGCCCATTTGGCATGTGGGAGAAAAAAGGTGTACCAGGCTTAAACTAATAAAAGAAAGCTTTTGATGGGGTGCCTGGCTGGCTGAGTCAGTAGAGCATGCAACTCTTGATCTCAGAGCCATGGGTTTGAGCCACACGTTGGGTATAGAGATTACTTAAAAAAAAAAGTTAAAAAAATTTTAAAAAGGCCTCTAAAAAAAAAAGGAAAATGAATTTATCAAAAATAAACTAAAATTGATTTTAAATGTTTTTAACCTAGTTTAAAGAAAATTTTTCCTGTAAGAAAATTACCCAAAGAAAGTGAATAAACATTGAAATCCTATTTTTAAAAAAATCCAGTATATCCTAATATTTTGTAAGAAAACTTTTTCTTTAAAGAAAGTTCTTTTTTTGCAGAATACTGTGAATGACCTAACAGTTCATCGGGCAACTCCTGAAGATCTGGTAAGTTTAATATCAAAAGTTAAGATTTGTTCAATGTTTTATTTGATATTGGGTTTCTGACCTTCAGAATAGAAACCAGAGGTACTTCCTGGAAGTTCTTCAGTTATATTTAATCTTGCTTATGTCTATATGAAATTGAAAAGCATATCATCTGGACTTCCTGATTTTACCTAGGAATGTCACTTAGCATGTATTAAAATTTTATTAGATAGGTTTGGTTTCAAATCTCTCTGTTCAAATCTCTCCAGTATTGCCCTGTATACACCTGTTGTCTTCTACTATCTGTAGGTATCTCTAGCCTTATTTACTGTTACTTCCGTATGCAAGCATACTGGTCTAGTCAATGTACTAATTTATTCTTTGAATATGCCATGTATATTTCCACAGTTGAGCCTCAATTCATGTGATTTTCTTTACTTGGAACAGTTTCTCTACCTTCTTGTCTACCTATTCAAATCTTACTTTGCTCCCTTACCCTAGTTCAAGTCTTACTTTTAAAAAGGTTTCTGCTAAAAAAAAAAAAAAAAAAAAAAAAAAGGTTTCTGCTATAGACTAAAAAAAAAAAAAAGCAGCTTTATTGAAATACAATTCACATACCATAAAATCCACCCTTTTAATGTGTACGATCCATTGGTTTTCAGTATATTCATATTCATATTTTCTAATTTAGATCATTTTCATCACTCCCTGAAAGAAACCCTGTACCTGTTAACAGTCATATGCCCCATATGCCCCTCTTCCTCAATATCTAATCTTCTTTATGTCTCTATGGATGTGTCTATTCTGGACATTTTTTTTTTAAATTATTTTTTAAAAGATTTTATTTATATATTTTTTAGAGAGAGAGCATGAACACAAGCAGGGCGAGGGGCAGAGGGAGAGGGAAAAGCAGACTCCCTGCTGAGCAGGCAGCTTGATGTGGGACTCGATCCCAGCACCCTGGGATCATAACCTGAGCTGAAGGCAGACGCTTAACCAGTTGAGCCACCCAGGCGCCCCTATTCTGGACATTTCATGTAAATGGAATACAATGTGTGTCCTTTGTATCTAACATAATGTCTTCAAGGCCCCTCCATGTTGTAGCATGTGTCAGTACTTCATCCCTGTTATTGCTGATACTGTTACATTGTATGGATATACCCGTCTGTTGCTGGACATTTGGATTGTTTTCACTTTTTGACTGTTATGAATAAGGCTGTTCTGAACGTTAGTGTACAAGTTTTGTGTGAACATATGTTCTCAGTTCTCTTGTTGTATACCTGGGAGTAGAATTGCTGGGTCATATGGTATCTCTACAGTTAGCTTTATGAAGAGCTGCCAAACTGTTTTTCAAAGTGGCTTCACTGTTTACATTCTTGCCAGCAGGCATGAGGGTTCCAATGTTTCCATATCCCTTGCCAACACATGTTATTACCATATTTTTAGTTTTAGTTTTCCTAAGTGGGTATAAAGTGGAATCTCATTGTGTTTTTGATTTGCCCTAGTGATTAATGATGTTAAACGTCCTTTTGTGTGCTTATTGGCCATTTGTATTATCTTCTTTGGAGAAATGTCTATGCAGATTCCTTAGCCAGTTAAAAATTGGATTACTTGTGTTTTTATTGTTGAGTTGTACACATTCTGGGTCCAAGTTCCTTATCAGATATATGATTTGTAAATATTTTCTCCCATTCTGTTTGTTGTCATTTCATTTTCTTGATGGTATTCTTTGAAGCACAAAAACTTTTAATTTTGATGAACTCCAGTTTATTTATTTGTTCATCAACTGTCCTTTTTGTATCATATCTAAGAAACCATTGTCTAGCCCAAGATTCACAAAGAATTTCACCTATGTTTCTTTCTAAGAGTTTTGTAGTTTTAGCTCTTATATTTAGGTCTTTGATCCATTTTGACTTAATTTTTGTATATAGTGAGATAGGGGTCCATCTTCATTCATTTCTAAATGGATATCCTGTTGTCCATGTACTGTTTATTAAAATGACTGTCTTTTCTCCATTGAATTATCTTGACACCCTTGCTGAAAATCAATTGTCTGTAAACATAAGGGTTTAGTTTGGACTGTCAGTTTTTTTTTTTTTTTTAAAGATTTTATTTATTTATTTGACAGAGAGAGACACAGAGAGAGAGGGAACACAAGCAGGGGGAGTGGGAGAGGGAGAAGCAGGCTTCCCGCAGAGCAGGGAACCCGATGCGGGGCTCGATCCCAGGACCCTGGATCATGATCTGAGCCGAAGGCAGACGCTTAACGACTGAGCCACCCAGGCGCCCCTGGGCTGTCAGTTTTATTCCACTGATCTATGTGTCCATCCTATGCCACACAACATTTTCTTGATTATTATAGTTTTGTACTAAGTTTGAAGTTTTTTGAAGCTGCCCAACAATTGGTATCTCCTCTAAACTGTTCTCATACTTACTGTCTATATGAGGCATTGTGTATGTGTTGTCTAAGGCATTTCATTTATCTTTATATGTACAGTTGGTCCTTGAACACTGTGGGGGTTAGGGGTGCCACCCCCTGCGTCAGAAATTTCTTGTGTAAGTTTTGACTCCCCCAAAATTTAATAGCCTACTGTTGACAGGAAGCCTTACCGATAACATAAGCAGCTGATTAACACATATTTTGTATGTTATATATATTATATACTGTATTCTTACAAAAAAGTAAGCTAGAGAAAAGATAATGTTATTAAAATCATAAGGAAGAGAAATTACATTTACAGTACTATATATTTATTGGAAAAAATCCATGTACAAGTGGATCCGTGCAGTTAAAACCCGTGTCATTAAAGGGTCAACCATATGTGCCCTATCTTCCTGGGCAGATTGTTAATGCTTTTGAGGCATAAGGGCTATATCTTGTATGTCTTTGTGGACCTAGAAATCTTAATCCTAGTAGATACTTGTTAAATATTTGTTGAGGATAATAATGATGCCCTACTGACTTAAAATTTTTTTTTATGAAAAATTTCAAATTTACATGAAAATGGAGACAAAAGTATAAAGATCTCCCAGGTACTGTTTACCCAGATATAATAGTTATTAAAATTTTGCCATAGTTCATTTTTCATACCCTTTCCTTCTTTCACTGTAGCATTTTGAAGCAAATCCCAGAGAACATGTCATCTTGTGCCAACATAATTCAGTTTGCATTTTTAAAAATATAGACTTTTTAATATAACCACAATGCCATTATCACACCTAACAAAAGTAACAATAATTTTTTGGTATTGTCTAATTCCAAGTCCATATTCATATTACCCCAATTATCTCAAAAATATCATCTTCATTTGCTTTTTGTGTTCAGAACCCTTACATAGCATTTGGTTGTTGGTCTCTTAATGGACTGATTTCTTATTTACATGGTGAGAACAAAGCAGTACATTTTATTCATCTTCATAGCTCTGAATACCAGAGTGCTTGTACAGCCAGTGTCTGCTCCTACTCCTTAGCCGCCTCAGTGAGCTCTTCTCCTGCAACTCTTATGCTGTGGCTCATAGCTCTGCTTCAGGAATTCCATTTTTCTGGAGTTCTGCATTTCCAGTGACCCACTTCCAAATGCAACCATTGCAGGGCTATAAACGTACTGCATTGTAAGTTTTTGGTGGTGACGTGTGTATTACGAAATGGGTGTGTCTTTGCCAAAGATGAGTCAGTGGACTTTGTGCCTTTTACATTGTACTCAGTGTGTGTGTGTGTGTGTGTAATTGTACAGTACAAACATGTGTAACTGAAAAGTTTAACAGAACAATTCTTAACTTTCTTATGTGTGATTTACTCTTAATATTTTCTATTCTGTATTCTGTTTTATTTTAAAAATGTTGGTTTGACCCACTAATTGATTTTACCACCCATTAAATGAATCCTGTCCTATAGATTGGAAAATAACATTTTATTGGATTGTCTTGTACAAAGGAAGTAGAAATTAATATTTTTTTCATTTTGTCTTTTTGCTAGGTCTACTAGTTCTAGATACTTCTTCTTTTTTTAAATCACATTTGAAGATTTAGAAGACTGAAAATTTTGGTTGTGAATATGTATAAATATACACATGTTGGACCAGAAAAAAATTTTTTAAAGATGAACTAGATTAGGTGGTCCCACCATCTGAATAGGCAACTTCTTTTTTCCTGAAGCATTCTTTTATATTTTTTTCTTTTGTACAGATACGTCGTCATGAAATACACAAATCAAAGAACAGAGCATTAGTACACTGGGAACTCCAAGAAAAAGCTTTGAAGAGAAAATGGAAGAGGCAGAAACCAGAAATTTCTAATCTTGAGAGAAGAAGATTGTCTATAATGAAGGAGGTAATGCTAAACTGCATTATCTTTAGAGTTAGAGAAGAAAATGATAAATAGATTTCTCTCTTTCCCTCCCAAATCTGATTCACATTGGAAGGACTTTAGTAAATGACTGCATCCTTATACAATGATGTACACATGGACTCTGAAAAAAGCAGCAGAGGGATGATTAGGGTCTAGTCTGGAGGTTTGAATTCCAGCACGGAAAGTTACTGTTTATGTGACTTGCCTGATTGTACTGTTATGAGATTTCAGTGATATGTACTAACAAACTGACTAGTACATTATTTGGCACATAATTAGTGCTATAATTACTTTTCTCAGTTCACACACAGTGCTATTAGATTGATTACTTTGCAAAAAAAAAAAAATGTGTGCTTGTCTAACAAGTTAGTAAGCCACTTGTCTTTGGCGTAATCTTTTGCCAGATGTAGGGTATTTGAATAAGTAATCAGATGTATAGGAATAAATAATATGGCAAATAAGAGGAAACTACAGCAAAAAACCTTTGATTTGGGATAAAATCATTGAAAAAGAAATATACTTTGTAGTGTTGCTTCTTGTTCATTGTTGAAGCTTATGGCACTTGGCTGTCTGGGTGACCTTTCCCTGCAGCTTTAAATCACTCTGTCTTTTGAGGAATTCATTAGGCTTGTTAGTGAAAGGTAAAAGTCTTAATCTTATATCTCATGAGGAAGAATTCTGTCTCCCAAATAAATGTTTACATGGACTTGTAAAAAGACCAGTAGATTGAGACCATATGGTTCTTTACAGATAAGTATCTTTTGATAATCTTGGACAAGGTATACATATTTGAATATTATGTAGTAGTTCTCAGTGACCAGGAAAAAAGGCAGCCCCTTTGAGGCAGCTCTGGGCTTTTGTGTCCCATCTCTAGTGGCTCCTGCTCATGTCCTGAATTGCTCATGTCCTGAAGGAATGGATGTGTTTGAAGTAGGGATTGAAGGACGAGTGGTGAGAGGGTGAGTGAAGTCTCTCTGCCTTCCCTTCAGTCCCATTCCTCAGGCTCTGATGTTGTGGTTCTCAATGCTGACTGCACATTAGATCAGTCAGTGTTGAGATCTTCCATTAAAAAAATCACTGTAGGGGCCCCTTGGTGGCTCAGTCGGTTAAGCGGCTGCCTTCGGCTCAGGTCACGATCCCAGGGTCCTGGGATCGAGCCCCATGTCGGGCTCCTTGCTCAGTGGAGAGCCTGCTTCTCCCTCTCTCTCTGCCTGCTGCTCCCCCTGCTTGTGCTATCTCTCCCTCTGTGTCAAATAGATAAAATCTAAAAAAAAATCACTGTATCTGGACTCAGATATATCTGGACTCAGATAATCTCATATAGTGGACATGTGATATGGCCCCACTTAGGTATTTTTTAGACAGTTTTTATGTACTTTTAATTCCTTACCAGGGTTGAGAACCTCTGCTATTAGTAAGATAAGTATTTCCATTTAACAATATATTTTGGAGGTTATCCCATGTCAGTATTTAGAAATCTACTTTTTCTTTTTAATGGCCAGGTAATATACAGATGTACCACAATGTATTTATCCAGTGCTTTATTTGTGCAAACTTAGGAAGTGTACTGGACTATAGTTTAGGCTTCTGGTTAAGAAGATATAGTGGTTTAAACAAAATAGAAATCTCTTTCTCTCTATGAAACAGTTCAGAGGTAACTGGTAGTTGGTAGGATCTCTGGGGTCCTTTATTCCAGGACTTCCATCACTGAGTAGAGAATGGCTGTTCCAGCTTCCTTCAGCTGTATTCCAGCCAGCATGAAAAGGGAAAAAGAATGCATGCTACTCCTTTTACATATCACCCAGAAATTCTGGCTTATATCCCACTGTCCAGAAATTTATCACATGACCATTCTCACCTAGTATGATGGTTAGGAAATCTAGCTGTGTACTTGGCTAAAACTTGGGAATTCTGTTGTTAAAAGGAAAATTAAAAGAGGGGACATTGGTGGGTAAGTAGCAGGTCTGTCACCCACAGATTGTTACCTGCCTTGTCACTGTAAGTAATACAATGAATATGCTTGAATATGTTTTTAAATACATGTAAAACTATATTTATAGGATAGATTCTTTTTTTTAAAGATTTTATTTATTTATTTGAGAGAGAAGGAGAGACAGGGAGAGCACAGAGGGAGAGTGAGAGGGAGAAGCAGGCTCCCCGCTAAGCAGAGAGCCCAAAGTGGGACTTGATCCCAAGACCCTGAGATCATGACCTGAGCCAAAGGCAGATGCTTAACTGACTGAGCCACCCAGGCACCCATGTAGGATAAATTCTTAAGAGTGGAACTGCTGAGTCAAAGATATGTGCATCTATTGTTTCAATGTTGCTAAATTTGTAATGTCTATGTTAAGGGATGTGATGGGACCAAATGAAGAAGCCTCCTTGGGCATATTCACCTAGGCAGTATCATTATGTATTAGAGCTACCAAGTGCATCCCCCAGAGCTGGAGTCCTAGATTAACAAAGTTAAGAGAAAAGCTCTTTGGCTAGCATAATTTGCTGTATGATGCATTCATGTCATGGGAATCAAGCAAATGAGGGTCCAAATTCAGAGAGAGGGAAACTTTGATAAAGTTTTATAAATTCTAAAAGTATAATAACTTCCCAAATCTCTCTGTAATTTCCTATTTCTATCTGGTTTTTATTATCAGAGAACAGAAGTTCTAGGATAAAAAGTTTTTGATAATGTTTTTGAAGGGAACTTTGGCTGATCCTTTGCAAATCCAAGATGTGTACCACTATTCATAAGTTTGATTTTGTGCTCTGTGAACCCATCTGGGGAGGTAACGTATACAGATGGGCTTGCAGAGATTGGTTTACCTATCAAGAGGATGAGTTTTATCAGAAAGAAGTGATGAATAAATCTAGAGAGGGCAAAAGAAAGCCAGTACACTGATCTGTGGCCTCTCAACCCATCTGCCCCAAGAAGGCTGGGCAGAGACTGGCAAAGTGCAATAGGGTAGCGGCTTTCCTGGAGACCTCATTATATTTGATCATCAGGTCTTGAGATGATAAAATTATTCCTCTTCAATCTGCTTCTGTCAGTTATATCTCTTTATTTTGATGGAAGGTCAGTAATTTTTTTTTTTAAATGGTAAACTCAAAACTGCCTTTAGGAAATATTCTCTGTGTAATTTTTCTAGTTTAAATGATAGATTATAATGCTCCATTTACTCTCTTGCCTAAGCTCTAATTGTGTGTACTTGCAAGATCGCTAACCAGGGATAGAAATTTGGTTCATAGGATAATATAATTTACGTTGTAACAACATTCCAAATATTTCCAGAATGGTACATGTTTTCAGTGTGTCCACATTCTTATAACACCCCTTTGGGTTAGGGAAGATGGTGGTATCTTCGTTTACATATTAGGAACCTAAGCTTAAAGAGATTGGATTTTGCTTAGTATCCCTTGACTGGGCCTGGGATCCCAGTGTTCTGTCTCTGAATGTGCTCTTTGCTTCATACCATTCCAAAACTTACTCTTTGTGGAAGGAACAAATTCAGGACTTGATTCTCACCAACTGAGCCAGCCAACCAGATTGGCTACAGCAGAAGAAAGGGAAAAAGTCAGAATGTGATTCTTGTTACTTTTCTCAGTGTCCTGAAACAATAACTGAAGTCATATTATATACTTGTTTCCATGGGCTAGAGAGATTCTGGTAAGAGCATTTGTTACCAGATGCTCCTCTCTATTGCTTTGAATCCGTGTTGGAAACTGGGGAGTATCCAATTTTGTGACGCCTCTCAATTTAAGAATGCCATCTGGTGGTGGTGGCTAGAATTGACTTGCCTGTGTCTCCTTGCTTATAATTATGAAAGTTCCTAAGTTGAAAGTGCCTAATTAGAGGAACTACTGTTATGGTATTTTTTGAGTTCTCATCCCTCCAGGATAAAAATCCAGCTTGTTTATAAATACGGAAGTGTTACTTCTTTGTTTGATGCCCCCAAACTCACATCTTACCTCATATTCTCTTAAGTTGTTGATCATGAACCATTAGCGGATCATGAAATCACTTTAAAGGTTGAAACACCTCTGAGTTTATGGCTCAGAGATTTATATCTTTAATCAGTGTTTTTCAGACTGTGGATCACAACTTGTTAGTGGATTGTGAAATTGAGTTAGTGTGTTGTAGCCATTATTTTAAAAAATAGAATAGAAACTAAAAGAGAATATCAGAGTGGTTCTCAAAAAGTAAGGTTAAGTAATACTTTTATTTTGTTATACATTTACATTTCTGTGTATGCTGGGTCACAGTTTAATAATATATTTCTTAACTTGGATTGCAGCCAAGCATATGAAATCTAATTATTGTAATAGCCCCATCTACTGGTACTTATGGATATTGCCCCTGAAGGATTTTAGGAGGATAGTGGCCTATGGTTATTTTTATGCTCTGTGCCTTTGTATGGACTTTTCCTTTGTGATTTCATAGTATATATATAGATTTTTTTTCTGAATAATAATATTTATCATTAACACATGTCTAGATTCTTTCTGATCATTACCAGATGCAGGATGTATTAGAAAAATCTGATCATTTGATGGCTGAAGCAAAAGATCTGTTTGTTGATTTTCCCCGTAGGCGCACAGGTAACGTATTTCATTCATATAAACGCTTCTTTTTCTTATTAATCATAGCCCACAATGGCTGTTTGGAAGAATTTTAAATCTTTTTTTGGGCATCACATTATTTATAGTACAAGTAGTCTTGAGTGGATAGCATACAGGAGTTGTTCGGCATAGATTCATTATAATTTGTTTGCTTTTCACTAAGAATATTAACTATTACAAATTACAGAGCTAAGCAAAGGTAAGTTGTTATTGTTTACTAGTATACTTTATGGTGCAATGTACAAGATTTTATTGTAAATATGACTTAATTTCCAGTTTATTAATGTTAAGTTACCGCAAAAGTATCTATTTATATAAAACTTGAGTAAAGCTTAATTTGAAGCCTAAGGCTACTTCAGTCTCTCTCTTGTCAGATACATAGCATTATTCACTTTAATGTGTATATAATCCATTGTTTATTTTAATCCCTAAAAACAGATCATTTGTTTTTAATTTAAGGTTTGAATCCTGGCTTAACCATTTATTAATGTGACTCTGGGCCATTTGCTTCATGTCTCTGAGTTTCAATTTACTGATCTATAAAATAATAATAGTAACAACCTCATCAGATTTTGTGAGGGTAAAATGATTTAATATATGTAAAAGCATTTAGAACAGTGCCTTGCACATAGTAAGCATTATCTAAGTCTTAGCTGCTATTATTATTATTTAAGATTTTTATGTGCTAATACAAACCTATGGCAGTGGATAGTGCTTGCGAAGTCAATTTAATTAAATGAAGTAAAATCATCATGACTTCTTTTCCTTCTGCAGGGTTTCCGAATGTAACTATGGCTCCTGATTCCTCTCAGGGTCCTATTTTGGTAAATCAAGACCCTGTCACGCAGGCCATTCTTAATGAATCCATCATGGAGCCTCAGGTAATGTGCTGTCCTTATAGCCATCATGCTTATGTTGAAATTAAGTTTATGTAGGTATTGTGGTAAACATTTCAAAAACTTAAATATCAACAAATACCAAGTATGGTTGCTACAATTGTTCTTACTCAAACATATTGCACTTTCGGTGAGTAATGTTTGTACCAAACAGATAGGACTGGATAATAAAAGAGAGAAGATACAATGAGAGAGACTTGTTCACATTTAAATGCGGATGAGCTGAAGCCAGTATAGAGAGGGTGAAGATGCAGGAGAGGGAAGGAGACTAGTTCTTCATTAAATGTTAGTCTCTTCTAATAGTGTGTTTAGAAAGTAGCTACCCAGGAAACTTGGAATTTATTGACCAGTTATGTGGGAAAATTATATTATTGTAGTAAAATGTTAATTAGCTATATCCTAACCTAACTGAAACTTAATTAAAATGTTTAGAATTTGAAATGGGAAACATCTTTTAAAAGCTCATGAAGAATTTAATATTAAAATAAAACAACTTCTTAGGATTGACTAGGACTCAATACCTGTTTAGTGCCATTTCCTAGGGTATTTATATGTCCTATGAAAAAAGGAGAATCATCAATTAGAGGGATGATCCTAGGGAATTACAAGGTCCAGAATCATTAAAAAAAAAATCTTAAGTCTACTGTTTTCTGCTTACAAAGGCAATTAAGTAGAATGGTACATGTTTTAAATAGCCAAAACCCATTAGCCGTATCTCCAGCCAAAAGCCATTATGTTTTGGCACTTAATTAAAAATGTTAGCTTTCAGATAATCATGGTCTCTATTATGGGAATGGGGGAATGGCAGGGCTGGGGCTAGAGAGACAGGGAGGAGCTAGGGCTAAAGAACCAGAAAGTGAGAGGAGAGCCACCAAAGGATTTTAGGAAGAGTAGAGTCATGATGAAATCAACTGTAGAGTGGAGGCAGGGTTTGGGAAAGAACAAGACTGGTGAGAGGATCTGGTTAGAGAAGACTAGGTTAGAATTTTAGTGGAAGTGGGAGGGCCTAACCTAAGCAATGGCAGAGAAGGAGGTAGAGGGGAAGAGGAATAGGTTTGAGAGATTAAAAAGGGATAGAATTGACAGCATTTGGTAGCTGATTGGATGTGACAGATGAGAAAGAAGCATAACTCCCAGTTTGCTGGCTTGAGCTTCTCAGTAGATGGTGATGCTGTTCATGGTCTTAGGTAATATGGCAGGAATAAAGCTTCTGGAAGAATGATAGGAGAGGCTTAGGAAGATGACCAGTTTTGGACATGTTTAGTTTATGTGTGTAGGATGTCTACTAGGAATATCCTTTAGGTAGTTGGATATAATTGTCTAGGACTCCTGAGAAATCTGGGTGAAGATAGAAATTTGAGAACTCACAGCATTTGACTTGTAATTGCAGCTTTGGAACTAGATATGATCATTCAGAAAGGGAGTCAGATGAGAGGAGAAAAGGTCCAAAGGGAGGACCTTGAGTCCGACCAGATATTAAGAAAGGACAGAAAGAAAAGAACCAATAAAGGAGATTGGGAAGGAAGAGCCAAAAGAACAGAAGAAAAACCAGGGAAATATGGTATCTTGGCAGTTAAAAGGAAGAATGTATCAAGATGATCTTGAAAGAAAGAAAGGAATGGTCATTAATGTCCAATGAATCAGAGAAGTAAGGGAAGGCAGAGACTGAAAAATATTTTATTTAGGAACAAATCAAAAAAGGATGTTGACCTTATAGACAGCAGTTTGAGTGGAGTGGTAGGGCAGAAGCAAAGCTGTAGGGCATAGGTGGTAAATGAGAAGTGGGGGATGACTCTTTCAAGAAGTTTGGTGGTAAAAGAGAGAAGATACAATGAGAGAGACTTGTTCACATTTAAATGCGGATGAGCTGAAGCCAGTATAGAGAGGTTGAAGATGCAGGAGAGGGAAGGGGCACTTGATGGAGTGGAAGGAGGTGAGAGGGTTTAGGTCCTAGAGCACTTGTGGAGATGTTAGCGGTAGAAGGAGGGACCTCTCTATTATAATGACAAGAAGAAACAAAGGATGAGTGTACATATGACCAACTTGTGTTTTTATTTTTATTGTTATGTTGAGAAAGGCTCTTAATGAAGTAGATGATGATGAAGAACGAACTGGTAACAGCCAGTCCGAAGAAAGTGCGAATGAATTGGATAACTCTCTAAACTCTCAGTCAAATATGAATGTAGATAGGTATGTATATATGGCATAAATATCTACAGGGCTTCCCTTTTTCCAAGGCCATTTCTTGTGTTTCCCAGCTTTATTGAGATATAATTGACATATAATGTGTAAGTTTAAGGTGTACAATGTGCTTATAATATTTCTACTTGTGGAACTTAATGATGTTTTCTTTGTGACCTAATATATGATTAAATTTTTGTGAATGTTCCACTTGTGTGCTTGAGAAGAAGGTATATTCTATATTAACAAGGTATAAAGTTCTATATGTATATCCTTAAGATCTACTTCATTGATGATGTTTTTTACTTCTTCTGTGTCTTTACTTATTTTTGTCACTATCTTATATTGAGAGTAGTGTATTAAAGGCTCCGTTAGTGTGTTTCTATTTTTCTTTGCGTATGATGTTCAAGTATATTTAATTCTGTTTGAAGGTAAATACCTCCATCCTGATTGGTGTGTTTTTTGGTACATGGATATCCATAAGTATTGTATTTTCATTGTGAATTATGGCTTTTAGCATTATAAAGTATCCTTTGTCACATTTAATGCCTTTTGGCTTCAGTTCTACTTTGTTTGATATCAAGAATGAAAGCTCTGCCTTCTTGTTTCTAATTGCCTGGTTCATTTTTGCTCATTCTTTTATTTTAGCTTTTCTGAATTGCTGTGTACTAGGTGTATCTTTTGTATTCAACACAGAATTGGGTCTTGTCTTTTCAGCCAGTTTGAAAATCTTTTTTTTTAATTGCTGAAGTAAGCTTGTAATATTTATTGGTATAGTTGATGTGTTTGATGTCAACTTTGTCATATTATTTTATAGTACTATGTACATTATACTATAATAATAGTTTTCCTTCTCTATGTAATGTTTTCTCTGTTCTCTTAAACATTTCTTTTGGTGTTTAGGAAGTTTGTAATTTTGTTTTGGCTGGTTGCCTTTATATCTACCATTTATAGAGCCATTTAGTCCCCTATTTTCTTTAACCTTTTGCTTTCAGGTGTGTTAGCTTTAAATGGTATGCTTTGACTTCCACCTATGGCCTGTGCAACAAATAATTTATTCTATATTCTCATTCTTTCCTTTTTTCCCTCTGTCCTTCTTCTCTTTTAGCTGCATTTTTTTTTGCTTTGACAGGACATAAAACATTTACATATTATTCTTCCCTGTGTGTTGCTATTTTTGTTTTAGTCTTGGAGCTACAGTTAAATATATTAAATGCTCATCATCAGTCCTTTTATGATGTTTCCCTAGTTAACTCTTGGTTGGATCACTCATTTAGACAAACTCATGCTGTAGGGTTTGTGAGTTCTATTCTTTGAGTTCTTGAAAGCTTAAAAGTTTTTCTATAGCTTTGATATTTGAAGGACAGCTTGGCTGGATATAAAATCTTTGATGCTTTGTTTCCTTAACTTTTTTGAAAATGCTTCTCCACTCTTGGTTTACTTTGAATGTTGCTTTGACAAGTCTGATGCTAGAATAATTTTCTTGCCCTTATAAATAATTTGGCATTTTTATGTATTGATTTCCTTTATATTTAAAATTTATTTCTTTTATCTTTAAAATTTAAACATTGCTAAGCTGTGTCTTGAGTTCACCTTTTCAGGTCGGTTTTTCCAACACAGTTGGCTTTTTTGGTGTGTAGATTCAGTTCTTTTCTTTCTTTCTTATTTTTTTTTTTTCCTGGAAGTTTCCTTGGGTTATGGTTTCATATATTAGTTTGATATCATTGGTTTTTTTTTTTTTTCTTTTTCAGAGATTCCTTTTATATATATATATATATATAAGTGATGTTTCTTGTTTTCTATTTTTTTTTTAAGATTTTATTTATTTATTTGACAGAGAGACAATGAGAGAGGGAACATAAGCAGGGAGAGTGGGACAGGGAGAAGCAGGCTTTCCGCTGAGCAGAAAAGGGAGCCCGATGTGGGGCTCAGTCCCAGGACCCTGGGATCATGACCTGAGCCAAAAGCAGACTCTTAACGACTGGGCCACCCAGGTGCCCCTTATTTTCTATTTCAAGTACTTTATCTCTAACCTTTTTTATTCTTATTTTTTTGTTGTTATTTTCCTGTAATTCTTCAGTCTTCCTTATTAAATGTTTATTTAACAATTATCCATTGGGCACATTGTAATTTAATCTTTATTTCTGAGTTTTTCTTTTTCTTCGTATTTTTTCCTGAGTCCAATCCATTCTTATTTTGTTCCTGCTTTTTGTCCACCTCTGCTCTTAGTTTTAGAACTTCTGATTCAAGATATATATCTTCAAATGCTTATTTAAGTATATTTAATTCCATTTAAAATGTTTGTTTCTTCTGCTTTTTCTTGGGAGGGGAGAAATTTTTATTAGTTGGAATATTTCAATTAAATTTTCTATTTTGTTATATTGTCTTGTATGGGTGTAGACTGTTTTAGTTTGTACATTTTGTGGAGAGGGTTGGGAGTTTGAGGTGGGTCTTCTCTCAATTATAGTGCAGCACAGTTATTTTAATGGATGCCTTTTTTTTTTTAAGTATCAGTGGGGGAAAGTTGGGTTTGTCCTCCAATACTGTTTTTTTTTTTTTTTTTTGTCTTGAACTGGTCTCCCTAGTTAAGTGTGTTACGATAATACACTCTTTTTTTTGCCTTCAGCACTCAGCCTCCTAAGAACTCTTCTTTCTTCCTGTTCACATCAAGAAGTGATGCCTTTCCAAGACCTACCACCTTGGGTTCTACACACTTCTTGGTAGTATTTTGACTGCCCAGGTTTGGGATTTGTGTGTGTGTGTGTATGTGTGTTTCCTTCCTTTTTAAGTATTTCCATACTTAGAGTGGACTTTTTCTTTCTGGAGGTGATTTTGTCGCCATTAGGCTCTCTGCTTTCTTCCCTGTTTGGTCATTTTCAACTGCTAGGGCTTCTGACAGGAGCTCAAGAAATATCTTTGCTGGAGTTCAGTGTGTATTTTTCTACTTACAGATAATTTGAAGTTAGTAGTATTTTCTGTCTTCCAATAATGTAGAAGGTATGGGTTATGTGCTATTTTTGCTCTTTTTGTTGCCCTGTCTAGTGGGTTTTGGAGGATGTGTGGAGTGATTCAAATTTAGCTGGTCACTGTTTCCTTAAGGACACTTGGAAACATGTATCATCTTTTAAGCCACTTTTTTCTTTCAGAACCCAAATATAACTAATCTTGTGCCAACATTGCTTTTATTCTTTACATTTGAATCAAATTTTTGTTTTTTTATTTGGTCAGGCAAAGTTAGTTTTATCCCATTGGTTGTGTGAATAGGTGGTTTCCAGTTTTGAATACCTTATGTCTCAAAATGTTACTTGTTAACTATTAAACATGAGGTATCAGAAGATGCATTAGACTTGGTATCTGGAGACTAAGTGCCTTCTGGTTTGAAAATTTCTCTGAATATATATTCCTGTATAACCTAAAACAACAGAAATTTATTCTCTCACAATTCTGGAGGCAAGAAATCTGAAATCAGTTTCATTGGACCAAAATCAAGGTTTTGTCAGGGCTACACTTCCTCCAGAGGCTCTAGAGGAGAATCTGTTCTTTGCCTCATTCAGGTGTTGATGGCTGTTGGTCTTCCTTGGCTTGTGACAGCTGCATCATTCTAGTCTCTGCCTCTGTCTTCACATCACCTTCTCCTCTGTGTGTATGTTAAAGTCTTCCTTTGCCTCTCTTTTATAAAAATATACATGATCCCATTTAGGGCCCACCCAGGATAACCTCACATCCCAAGATCCTTAACTTAATCATATCTGCAAGACCCTTTTTGGCCATTTACAGGATCCAGGGCTTAGAACATGGACATATCTTCACATCCTACCATAGTCCACTCAGTGACCCACCTGCAAAATTTATATTCACCCCCATTTCAATATTCCCCGGTGTCTCTGCATGAAACTCAAGTTCAGAATCTCATCTAAATGTCATCAGCCCAAACCAAATCTTATCGTCTCAAGCAGGTATGGGTAAGCTCTGAATAAGACCCATCCTGGGCAGTATTCCTCTCTATATATGATCCTGTGGAACTAGAAAACAAGTTATCGGCTTTGAAAATGCAATGATGGAACAAGCATAGGATAATAATTTATAGACATTCCCATTTGAAAATCCAAGGAAGAAAGGGGTCACCTGTCCTAAGCAACTTTGAAACCCAACAGGGCAAATTCCATTAGGTTTCAAAGCCTGGTAATAATCTTCTATGTCTTGAGGCTTCACCCTTTGGGTCCATGGCTCCGTCCTTTGTGCCTGTGGCTCTGGCCTTAGCCTGTGTACCCGTGGGTTTGGCCTCTGTATCTGCAGCTCTGGCCTTGAAGTCATTCTTCCTTTTCCTTGAAGCCCATGTTTACAGCTGAGTAATTTTATCAGCCTGTTGGCTGACTCTAGAATTTTGGGAGTCTGACTCTTCCTTCATTTTATCCTATCTCTGTCCTTTTCAGTCCAAGCTGCAGTATTTCTGCTGGTACAACATTCTCAAAAGACCTTGTGTGTCTCCTTTGTATGTTGTATGCCATTAGACAAGAGTCCCTCCAGAGATCTTCCCTGGATAATCCCATCTATGTTGCTGGCTTCTGCTGAGATCATTGAGGGGATCCATGAGTCAGATGCCTAATCTCTTCAGATTAGCAAAACATTGTCTAGCAATACACTTGTCCTTCTCTCCAGGGCATGCTTTCCTAACAGTGTAGTGTCGCCTAATTTGAGCATCTTTTGCATTCTGGGGAGGCTGAAAATTTCCCAAATCTCAAGTTCTGGTTCCTTTTGGCTTAATAGTTCTTCCCGCAGTGTATCTCTCTCCTGCATTTCACTCTAAGCAGCAGTAAGAAGCAGGCTGCACCTTCAACACTTTGCTTGGAAATCTCCACAGCTAAATATCCAAGTTCATTGTTTACGAGTTCTGCTTTCCACGTAACTCAGCTATGTTTTCTGGCTCTTTTATGGTTGTGTGGATGTAGTACATTTTACTTCTCCACACATCAATTGGTGGACATCTGGGTTGTTTCCACTTTTTTGTCACCTACCTCTTTTAAGTCTCAGTCCAATTGAGAAATAGATGAAGGAATCACGTGGTTGGAGATTAAATTATCAGCCTTATCAATGAGAAAGATGATTGTAGCCAAAGGCTTAACTCCCTACGCTGCAGCCCTTCTTCCCATTCCTTCTCCCTGCTCCCAGAGACTCAGGGCAGAGTCTGCTCCAGTTACTTTACTTCAGTGAAGTGTTCTGAGGACAGCCTCCTTCACAGGAGAGAGAAACCAGTAAGGACCAAGCCATGTACTTTCTCTGGGAAAGAGAGAGGAGAATGGGGCCCCTACCACAAAACTCAGAAAGGGGAAATTGCTCCTGTGAGTAGGAGCCAAGGTAGGTGGGAAACTGGGAGGAAGATGGAATTATTTCTTCTAACACTAAGAAGACTGGCATTTTAGCTGTCTTATCAGTTAAAGCAAAATGTATTTTTTCTTTGATTATGAATTACTAAAAGTGCCCTCAATCAAACATGTAAGCAGTTGAACAGTTTAAATGATAGCATTTATTAATTCTAATATAGCTTGTTGCCCCATAATTTATAGGTTTCTCCACCAACTAAAGGAAGATAATTATGAGTTAATTAATAAACTGTGGACTGATATTCAGCAGAAAATAACAACACAGTCACAAACGCCTCCAGGAACTCCATCACCTGCTGCTCCATCAGGAGAACAAAAAGGTTTGTTTTCCTCCATTGTATTATTTCTCACAGAATAGTGATTTGTTTTATTATGTTCTTTCTTAAACGCAGTAATTTTTAAAGGACTGTTATTTGAGTTTTGACTGACTTTACCTAATTGAATGAAATACTGATTGATCTGTTAATTGGAATGCTTAAAACTTTTTTTGTTGTTCACTTGAGATTCTTTTGGAAATATTTTTTCTTTTAGCTGCTCTGAATGCTACCAATGCTGTCAAGAGAATCCAGACCAGGCTTCAATCTGAAGAATCTACTGAGACTCTAGACTCAAGTTATGTTGTGGGACAAGTGCTGAACTCAAGGAAGCAAAAACAGTTGTTAAAGAAAGGTTCAGTCCCTTAATTTACAAAGATGAATTATTAAGCACGTAACTTGATACAGCTTCCTTAATCTCTTAGTAAAGTTTTTTCCCTTAAACTCATCCAGATGGAGCCAACTAATTAAGACTTTGTTGAATGGTAGCTAAGAAATGCCTCCAAATATAACATGTACTAGATGGTTCTAGTACGTTCATTATAGATAGTGTAAACTTGGTTTAAACTGTATGAATTTTTTATGGGAAATGGTAAAGAAAAGTAAAGAACACTTTACTTCAGTGAAGTGTTCTGAGGACAACCTCCTTCATGGGAGAGAGAAACCAGTAAGGACCAAGCCATGTACTATATAGAAGTAAAGTGTTCTTTACTTCTATAGAAACCTTTTATAAACTGTGAATAACAGTCAGTGGTTTTTCTAGTAGCTTGCTGGTATAATTTTTCTTGGTCTTCTAATAGAATGACTTCTGTCATTATCAGTGAAAGGAAAAGCGGATTCTCATGCTCCTTCCAAGCAGAAGAAGAACGTGTTAACAGCTAGCACAGCCTCCACAGACTTACCAAATAGCAACAGTTCCAGCCTGGATGTCCTCAAACACATGATAAATGAAGTGGAACATGAAATGGAAGAATATGAACGATGGACAGGACGTGAGGTCAAGGGACTGCAGGGCAGTCAGGGCCTTACAGGCTTCACTCTGTCACTGGTGAGCTCCCTCTGTCGCCTGGTTCGGTACCTGAAAGAGGTAAGAGCAAGAGGTTATTAGAGTCTCCTCTTCAGAGTTTTTTTCCCTCTACACTTAATTTATTGCAATTTCCAAATGAAATATAGTCAAGTTTGAATAGCTTTGTTTAAAATACCTCAGTTTAGATTATCTGCAGTAAAGCTTTATCCTCTTAATTTTCCTCTACATGCTGATTTATGTATCATCTAGTATAAGTGATGTTGATTTTAATATGAGTTTTAGTAAATTGTAATTGGTAAGGTAAATCTGCTATAAATGAAATCATTGCTGACATTGAATATTATTGTTTGGCAGTATTAAATTCAATAGAACTACTAAACGTGTCCTTGTTCTATTGCTTTTCTCTGTGTTCCTACTCCCACTTTAGTTTGGAGAGTGGCATGCCTATAATCTGTAGACACAGATGGGGGAAATTCTTCATGTTATCTGTGTGACTACTTGGACTTTGTCTGAAGTGGAAGATCTTTTGTTGTGAAAATAATTTATAAGAGAAGCAAGAATTATTTCTGTAATTCATTTTTGAATAATCAGCCTTCAGAATGCTGTGGGATTAGAGTTAGCTCTACATTTCACCTTTCAAAAAATCTATTTAAACTTACTTATTTTTTATAAATTTAAGTTTGTTAAACAAATACAACAAAAAATGTTCAAGGAAATTTTACTATTAAAATAGTTGATTCAGGGGTGCCTGGGTGGCTCAGTCGGTTAAGCATCTGCCTTTGGTTCAGGTCATGATCCTGGGGCCCTGGGATCGAGTCCCACGTCAGGCTCCTTGCTGAGCAGGGAGCCTGCTTCTCCCTCTCCCTCTGCCTCTCCCCCTGCTTGTGCTCTCTCTCTCTGTCAAATAAATAAATAAAATCTTGAAAAAAACCTTTAAAAAAATAAAATAGTTGATTCATCACTCTAATTCAGATGTTTCAATTTCTCTGGAGCTGTCTTCCTAAAATTACTTTTTAGTGAAATATTTATTGTACTGTCAGACTTATGAAAGTCTTATCATTCTTCCATCCTTAAGTTAGGAGTCTCTGGGAGTGTACTTTTGGCTCTCTGAAAGTATTACAAGTTTAGTAGCTTCCACTTTTTAGCTAATCACTTGCTTTACAAAGTTGAAACCATTTAAGCCTGTTGTCATTTATTTTTAATTTTATTTTAGCAAACTTAGTTCTTGAATTGGTGATTATAATCACATGGCATGAAATTAAAAGAAATAGAAGGATATAGATGAAAATTCTGATTCCCACCATTAACTTCCATTTAACCGGTTTGCTTCCTTGTAGCTAGCTATCATTATGAGATACAAGTGTATCCTTCTAGAGATGCTCTGTGTATATTCAAGCAATATGTTTGTCCTTCCCTCCACTTTATTCAACAAAAATTGTAGTTATATAAGTCTGTATACCATTCTGTTCATTGTGTTCTATATAAAGAAGGGAAAAGGACACAACATTTCGTTTTAATGCAGTATAAACCTTTTAATAAAAATATGTAATTCTCATTACTGTCACACAATATATACTTCATAAGTATTTTCTTTGACAGCTTTGAGTAGAAACTCTTAGTTTTCAGTATTTTATGCTGTTGATGGGAGTTGATTTTTGGATGGGAATTTTATCTTATTATTGATGGAAGGTTTTTTTTTTTTTTTGGTAGAGCGAGGTCCAACTGCGTAAAGAAGTAGAGACGAGGCAGCAACTGGAGCAAATGTTGGGTGATCATCGGGAGCTCATTGATGCTCTTACAGCTGAAATTCTTCTTCTTAGAGAAGAAAATGCTGCTACCCAGGTACTTAGATGAGATCCCAAACTTTTCTGTGTTTAGTAGAATAAAACATCTTTAAGAATATATAAGATTCTCTTTTAGTTGCCTTTGGTTTAGTTGTGCTGATGTGATTACTTACCACTTCTTTATTATCAATGGTAGCTTTTATTGAACATTTATTATATTGGGGGTACTATAGTAGAAACTTGAGCTACAAATAATGTGCAGAATAAGTCTGCTATCTTTAAGAAACATACTATTTAGTGGGGAAGACAGAATGTACATTTAAATGGTAACTACCAATATTATAGCAGTTTATCCAAAATGTGAAGTGAATGTTGTGATAGCGACTTTTAATTTCAGAACAGCAGAGGATACCATTTAGGAAGCTTCCTGTAATCATATGCCATTTAAAGTTGTTTGCAGTATCTTCATATTTATTAGATAAGTCCTCTTTGACACTTGTCTAGCTAATTGCTCCTTTTTTTTTTTTTAAAGACTTACACAGTATTTCTTCTAGAAACTAATCGTACTGCCTCAGTGCTGCATTAAATATTCTTTATTTGTGCCCTTTTGGTACTCTCTGGATACTGCTGTCATTGCATTTACCAAATTATGTTAAACATACATGTATACCTGTCATCAAGACTGAGCTGCTTGAGGGACACCTGGGTGGCTCAGTCGGTTAAGCGTCTGCCTTCGGCTCAGGTCATGATTCCAGGGTCTTGGGATCAAGTCCTGCATTGGGCTTCTTGCTCAGCAGGGAGCCTGCTTCTCCTTCTCCCTGCTGTTCCCCCTGCCTGTGCTTTCTTTCTGTCTGACAAATGAATAAATAAAATCTTAAAAAAAAAAAAGACTGAGCTGCTTGAGGGCAGAGATGGTTTTATTCATCTCTTTGTTCTCCATTGACAGTTATTATTACTTTTATTTATCAGCCAAAAGAGACTAGAAAAGCAATAGTTAGTAGGCAAGTTGTATTGTATCAATGGACATTAGATATAATGCAATTTTTTATTGACCTATACAGTTCACATACCATTTAATTATCTTATTAAAGTGTACAGCTCAGTGGTTTTTACTATATTCACAGAGTTGTACACCAGCACCATTATCTAATTCCAGAATATTTTCCTCACTCCAAAGAGAAACCCCAAGCTTGTTAGCAGTCACTGTTCATTCTGTGCCCCCTGAAGTCTCTGGCAATTAGAAATCTACTTTGTGTTTCTATAGATATGCCAAATGTGGATATTTCATATAAATGGAATCATGCAATATGTGATCTTTTGTGTCAGATTTCTTTCACTTAGCATAATGTTTTCAGGGCTTAACTATGTTGTAGCACATGTCAGTAGTTCATTCCTTTTTGTTGTCCACCAGTATTCCATTATATGGATATACCTCATTTTGCTTATCCATTCATCAACTGATGGCCATTTGAGTTGTTTCTACCTTTTTCTGTATTATGAATGAATAATGCTGCTATGAACATTCATGTACAAGTATTTGTGTGAACTTAGGTTATCAATTCTCTTGGAAAGATGAGCAGCTTTAAAATGTACTAATTGACTCAACAAATCTTTATTGATTTGGGCCTGGCACTGTTCTTGGTGCAGAAGATACAGTCATGAACAAAGAAGAAATCTTTGCTCTGTGGAGCTTATTCTAAATAAATCCTTAAAAAAAAAAAAAGTGAAGTATATTGTAAGTTAGATGGTGATATGTACTGTAACGAAGAATAAAGCAGATAAGAGGCACAGGAAGTACCTAGGGTGGGGAATTGTAATTGGGATGGGCCATGCCTGTTTGAGGAAATGGCATTTGAACAAAGGCCTGAAGAAGGTGAAGAAGTGAGTGATAGCTGAGAGAAGAGCAATCTAGGCAGTCTAGAACAGCAGGTCCAAAGGTCTTGAGGTGGAAGCATGGCTATTGAGCTAAAAAACCACTGGAGTGGAATGTGGGAAAGGGAGAGTAGTAGGCTGTCTTCTGGGACAAGCTGGCACTGGTCACAATGCAGGGAGACTTTCCTCCAGAGGATCAGTGCCTGTCAGTGCTGTGGGGGTCTCTGAAGTGTGGGGTTTTGAGACACAGCCGAGTCTAAGATAAGACACAAGAGTGCTTCACCATTTGGCAGTGGATAGCTCGGACACACACAGGGTGAAGGCAGGGATCTGACAGAAACCACGAACACAGGAGGGGTTGCTGTTTTAGCGTCTGTGAGGGCTTACTGAAGAGGGGTGGCCTGCGTTTCCTGCTCTGGAGAGGAGAGAATGGGGTAGAACCATCTTCTCCCCATGCCCACCAGCTTGACCCACCTCAGTGAGCTAAACAGTGCCACCAAGTGGAGAACGGAGCTGCTACACTAAGCCCCGCCCCCCTGCTACATGCAGGCACATCTCCACTAGGGCAATTCCACCTGAGAATCTGAGCAGCAGCCCCTTCCCCAGAAGACCAGCCACACCGAGTCTACTGATCATAGAGTGCTGCAAAGCTTCGGCTTTAGGGGAAAAAGGATCTAGCGTCCTTTGGGGTTTTGTGTGTGTGTGTGTTTGTTTTTTGTCTTTGTTTTTATTTGTTGTTTGTTTTTTAGATACAGAAAGCAATTTATTATTTTATTTTATATATATATAAAAATTTAAAATTTTTTTCTTTTTTTCTTGCTTTCTACCTTTTTCTATCGAGCTTCTCCTAACAAGCAGACCAAAACACACCTAGCATCTAGCTTCCTGTATGTATTTTATTTTTTAATTTAATTTTTTAATTTTTTAATTTTTACTTTGTTTTATTTTGCTTTTTTTCCCCCACTCCAAAATGACAAGATGGAGGAATTTACCCCAAAAGAAAGAACAGGAAGAAATGATGGCCAGATATTTATTCAATGCAGATATAAGTAAGATGTCTGAACTAGAATTTAAAACAACAATTATAAGGATATCAGCTGGGCTTGAAAAAAGCATAGAAGACACTAGAGAATCCCTTACTGCAGAGATAAAAGAACTAAAATCTAGTCAGGGAGAAATTAAAAATGCTACAACTGAGATGGAGCCCTGAATGGATGCCATAAAAATGAGGATGGACGAAGCAGAGGAACGAATCAGTGATATAGAAGATAAAATCATGGAAAATAATGAAGCTGAAAAGAAGAGGGAAACAAAGGTAATGGACATGAGGGTAGACTTAGGGAACAATGTAACTTATTAAAATGGAGTAACATTTGTATCATAGGAGTCCCAGAAGATGAAGAGAAGAAAAAGAGGCAGAAGGTTTATTCGAGCAAATTATAGCTGACAATTTCCCTAATCTGAGGAAGGAAGCAGATATCAAAATCCAAGAAGCACAGAGAACTCCCATTAAATTCAACAAAAGCCGGCCATCGCCAAGGCATAGCATAGTCAAATTCACAAAATACACAGACAAGGAAAGAATCCTGAAAGCAGCAAGGGGAAAAGTCCTTAACCTACGAGGGAAGACAGATCAGATTCTCAGCAGATCCGTCCACAGAAACTTGGCAGCCAGAAGAAAGTGGCAGAATATATTCAGTGTGCTGAATGGGAAAAATATGCAGCCAAGAATACTTATCCAGCAAGGCTGTCATTCAAAATAGAAGGAGAGAGAAAGAGTTTTCCAGACAAAAAAGATCAAAGGGAAAAAAAGATCCCAGGGAAAAAAAGATCAAAGCTCGGAATCATATTGGATACTGTCACTCTTATTTCTTATTCCACAATAATTTTTACACAGTTTTGCTTTTTAGCATGGCAGCTAACGAAAACCCAGTTTCATGAAGATCCGACATCATCAAAAGAAATGTATTTTGATCTAATGTTGAAGCTGTGAGCTACCTCAGACTGGTTCACTGGTTCACTGGTGCCTGACAGATGTTGAACAGCAGTGTTTTCCTCAAAAATTTAAAATGTCCTGTGGTGCCCCTGTGAGTTCACTCTAGTGCCCCAAGGTGCTTCAAGCTTTTTTGGGAACAGTATAGAACTAGACTGTAGGTGGTTAGACATAGAAGCAGAGTGTTACACATAGGAGTAATTGAAACAATTCAGGTGATCTGGCAGTCTGGTCTAGTTGGAAGTGGGAGAAGCTGTGAAAAGTAACTTAATTATGAATATATTTTAAAGGCAAGCAGTAGGATTTGCCAATGGGTTGGATATGGGGTGAAGGAGAGGATGTGGGAGGAGTCAAGGGTGATTCCACAGTTAGGGACTGAGCATTTAGAAGGATGGAGTTGCTGTTGATGAGGTGGGAATGTTCAGGGGGAGTTTGGTTTTGTACGTGTTAAATTTGAGAAGCCTATGTGAGTGAGTTCTCCATCTCTAGATGGAGATGCTGAGTAGGTCATTGGAAATGATTGTGGAATTTGGGAAAAATTTGGGCTGGTATGAAATTGTTTAGTATACTTCATTCAGTAGTCCCACTAATAATCCTTCTCACTTCTGACCATCTGTGATTTTTATCAAATGTCTGTACATTTTGGAAATATATACATATATATATATACACACACACATACAGGGATATATATATATATATATACATGGATATATATACACATATATATGTGTGTATAATATTTCTTATTTCTATGTGTATATTTTCTCTTAACATTATTTTATATACATAAATTCTTACAGGGTCATGTTTATATATTCTATTAAATTATCTTGAGTCAGTTGATATCATTTATCTAAAAAGGTTTTATAGATCAGAAGCCCTGTAAAAAGGTTAATTCTTATTGTTGTTGTAGTGTATTTAGTAATTAATAATATTGCATGATACATTTAACCATTCCTCTGTCATGGGACTTTTAAAACATTTATGATTATGTGTTCTTACAAATGCATGATTTTAGTATTTGAATGAAAGTCCGGAGTTCCTAGAGTAATTAAAGTAATGATACAGTTCTACATATCTAGGTGATGATCTGATGTCTGGTATGCCAATGATGTTATTTCATTCTTTTTTCTCCAGGCAAGACTTCAGCAATACATGGTCACAACAGATGAGCAACTTATATCGCTCACACATGCCATGAAGAACTGTCCAGTGATAAAAAGCAACAAAGAATGTCAGGCATCAGAAAGGGGATCCACGAGTAGGAAAATTATAGACAATCCTGGTGAGTGTGGTCTTTATTATCCCAGGTTGGTATTAAAACACAGAGTAAACAAAACTGTAAACTTACATGTTATTGGTCACATATACATATATAGCATTGTCACTATGACAGTTGCCATCACTATTTCCAGCTAATATTTATTGGGTACTTGCTCTATGCCAGGCACTTTTTAAGTGTTTTATGTGTATTATCTCATTTAGTCCTCATAGTAGTTTTATGAGGTAAGTATCACTGTTATCCCTACTTGCACTATGAGAAAACCAAGGCTTTGGGAGGATTGGTAGCTTAGCAAGATCACACAACTAGGAAGTAGCAGAATTTGCTTCCTAGACTAGTGGGGCTTTAGTGCCAACACTTTTCATCACTGTGCACCAGGTTCGAGAGGAGAGGAGATGGTCTTGGAAAGAAAAAGAAATTCTGAGTTTTAGAAATGCACAACTTTTGTTCATTTGTGGTGATGTTTGGAAAGCCTTTCTTCACTTCCTGTGCCATCCCTATGTCAGAGCCTGAAAAGGACAGTTAGGCTTTTTCATGTTTTTTGCTTCTAAGTAATACTTTGATGAGTATCTATGTGTGTTAAGTATTTTATGTATTTAGGAGTGTTTTCTCAGGAGGGATTCTAAGAAGTGGCTGACTAAAATTTAACTTGGATGAGAGAAACTCAGTGGCTGGGGCAGGTCTCAAGGACTAAGTGCTTTTCTCAAAAACAGCCTCTTCTTCCCAGTGCTGGCCCCTCGGGAGCCTTGGGTGTGAGTTACAGCTAAAGGAGGATATGGCCTAGAAAGTGAAGGCTCTAGAGTCCATGTGATTTTGCTTTCTGTGGAAATGCATGTAAGTATAAATACCTGCAATATATCCATGGTTGTAAGTGCTGATAGCCTCTCATCTTCTTCAGAGGGCCCTGTTGTAAATGCTAATGTCTCCATGCCATTGGTGTCCAGAGGGGAAGAATTGGCTGAATTCGCACAGGAAGACTTGCCTGTTAAACTGTCTCAGGTGCCCACTCCCCTGGATAGTGTGAATCTGACTAACAGTTTTCCAGCGCATATATTTGAACCGGCTGTGTTGTTAACACCACCCAGGCAGAAGAGCAACTCTGGATTCTCTCCCTTGCAGGACGGTAAGCAGGCTTCCTCTAAGCTGTGTGACAGTTGTTTTTTTATGCTTTATATATGTAACATATGGTGTCCATTGTTACCCTGTAAACGGAATTCTGAAAGATATTGATTGCCACACATAACCTTTAAGCTAAAGGAGGATTTTTCAGGGTAATTTTTATCATGTGTGTTATACCTATGGTGAAATGTCACATTAAATTTCATTAAGTATCTGTTCTATTAGACATTGTAAATACTAAATCAAACCAAAAGATCAAAGTCCTCAGCATTGAAATGTGGAGTAAGGGAAATCCTCTTTTCCCTATGGTCCAGGAGCATAGGAAAGGGTAAGAAACAGATTATACTCCAGAGAGAGAGTAATGAAAGTTTAGCTAAGGAAAGATAGGAACTGTGACTATAAGGATTTTGTAAATCAGATTTGGTTATTAACCCCTTTATCACTGAAACTTGTTTAGCTTAGTCAGTTGAGGTAATTCTATAATGAAAGTTGATGGACAATTAAAAATAGCTTTCAGGTCACTTTTTGCAGGACATATATAGAGTTTAGAATAAAATTTTAAAAATTTATTGTTAATCCTTAGCCCAGAGGTTCTTAACTTGGGGGTTCCTGGATGGTCTTCAGAAGTACCATGGAGTGTTTCATTGTTTGGAAAATTATGTTTATTTGTCCACCTGTGCATTTTTCTGGAGCTATAGAGCCTTTTTTTTTTTTTTCATTTTCAAAACAATTCTTCAGTCAAAAAACTACCTTATACCTTAGACTCACCTCCATTGTTTTTAGAAAAATGTTATTCAGCCCTGATTTGCATACATTTTTATTTCTTTATTTTCTTCAAGTGTTTACTTTCTTACATAGGGGAACAGAATAATAACTTTTACTGTCATTGGAACTTAGAAATTTGGTCAGATTTTCTGTACCTTTTCAATAAAGGACATGAAGAGGCCATAAGGGTTAAAGAAAATGACAAGTCCTTGCCATTATAAAATTTGTTTTGGCATTTATTATGCGATTGTAAAGTCTGTCAGATCTTTGTGGTGTAAGGAGACAGTGCTAGGCTGAGGGTCAGAAGTGCTAGACTCTTGGCCCATCCGATGACTATCTGGGAGGCTTAGAGCTAAGACACTTACCTTCTCTGCATTCATTTTCCTAGCTCCAAAATGAGAGATTTTTCTTTTATCTTTAATGTTCCTCCAGCTATACAGTTCTGTGATTTGGTATTTCCTCTTCAGAGGCTAGAGAGTATTACTAACTCTGGCTAGGAAATATTTAGGAAATATGATTTCAGTTCTGATTTCTGTTGAGGTTAGATTTTCATTCCTCAAAGTAACCTTTCAAATGTTTACATGGTATTAATAAGCTTGTCTAATGATCTCTTTTGAGGTATTGTAAATTATTTCCCACTGGTGATAGTAAGATAACTTGAAGTTCTTTTTTTTTTTTTTTTTTTAAAGTAGGCTCCACTTTTAGTGTGGAGCCCAACACAGGCATGAACTCACGACCCCGAGATCAAGACCTGAGCTGAGATCAAAGAGTCGAATGTTTAACGAACTGAGCTACCCAGGCACCCCTAAGTTTTTTTAAAGAAACAATTACCACAAATATTTTTACTCTGATTACAAATATGCTAAATGTTCACTAAAGCAAATTATTTGGGGACTGTTATAGACACCCCTTTGTTAGCAGGTTTGCGTTGAAAATAATGCCACACATTTCTTTCACAGTGTGTAGATGGAATAACCTTTGAACATGTATTCTTAGTTGGTGAAGTTTTGTCATCATATTTTTCGGCATTTTATTTAGAATGCTCACGTATAAAAAATTGTTGAGTTAAGCTGAACATGTGGATAAAGGTGGGAGATACATCGGGCCCTTTATTAGTATTTGGTTATGCTCTGGAACAGCTCTGTCCAGTAGAACTTTCTGTGATGATGAAAATGTTCTGTGTCTGCTCCATTTATTGTGGTAGCCACTAGCATAAGGGGGAACTTGAAATGTGGCTAATGTGACTGAAGAACTGAATTATTAATTTTATTTAACTTTAATGAATTTGAATTTGAATAACTGCATATGGCCAGAGACTGTTATAATGGCCAGCATTGCTCTAGAATTTCCCATTATAGATCATTTCCTTTAGCTACTGTTTGACTTCTACTTTCTTTTACAGCCACACTTTTTGAAAGAATAGTGTATATATGCTGTTTTCATTTTCTTATCTCCCATTCTTCATTTTCAAGCATCAGCTCTAATTTATATTTTCATGTGGTTAAAAAAAGCACATACAAAGGTCTCTTCCTCTTTCATCTTTAGGCCTGCCCTAAGAGGGATGCATTTTTTCCCAGTTTGATTTCTACTTATCTTGTGGTGGTTGCCATAATTAATATAAAATATTTTTATATATTTTTTCTTAAATGTTAACTTTAGACAATAATTATAGACTGTCCTTTATTAAAGAAGAGGGTTTAATGAATATTAACTCCTACTTCCCTTCTCTATCTAATTTGGATGATTATATTTTAATGCTTAATTCTTCTGTTGCTTAACTTTGTGACTTCAAATACTTTCTATGTCTTCTCTGTTAACTCTATGCAGTATCTCTTGGCTTTCCTCTACGAGAGCCGCTTCCCTTCTGGCTCTCCTTTGCTTCCATTTCTCACCTTCATTCAGCCTACACTTCCTTTTACCGTATCAAGTTTGGTGACATTTACTTTGTTCCATTACCGCAATTATGTCTTCTGTGTCTTGTCTATAGGTGGACACTGAAAGTTGAAAACAAATGACTGTTTTGTCCTATCAATCTTTGTGCCACAGGAAGGAAAAAGTTCTTAGTATGAAGATCAAAGTGAATTTCCTTTATTTCATTTAATCAGTTGCTCAGAATATTTAAGTTTGCTCTATATTTATACTGACTTTCTTGTTCAATTTTTGTTTTTCCCGGAGTTTCGAATTGCTTTTACCCTCTTGTTTACACATGAATAATATCTTCTAGTCCTTTAGTTACTGTCTGTGGCATGGAATCCGCTTTCATTCCAGAGATAATTCCCAAAGCTCTTTGACCCCTGCTCCAGTCGGCACTGATTGCTTGCTGGGCCCACTGCACACCTCTTATCCTGGGACTTGCTAACGTCACACTCCTGGGTTGTATCTACTATTTCCTGGATCCCACTTCTTCCTCTTTGGTTTTCTCCCTCAAGTTTCTGAAAGAAATCATCAGAATGGGTGTATAGAAGGTAAACCCTAAGTTCTTAAAAATCTGAGAATATTTTTACTTTTCTATTACACTTGGTTGATAATTTGGCTAGATATAGAATTCTAGGTCCATAATCCTTTACCCTGAGAAATTCGAGGCATTGTTCTATTGACTATTAGTATCTGCTGTTGCAGTTGAGATGTATGATGTAATATCTAACTTTTATTTCTTTGTATGTGATGTACTTTTTCTCTGTGGAAGCTTTAGGATTCCTTTATTTTTATTCTGACCTTGCATAAGGTGTGTCTAAATATGTTTTTTTTTTTTTTTTTTTTTCTCCTCTCATTGCACTATGAGGCACCAGTGGGACCTTTTGGACTTGAAGACATGTGACTTTCTGCAGTTTTAGAAAATAGTATATTGACCTTCTGGAACATTTTCTATAAGCCTTATATCTTGCTTCTTATATTCTGGAAGATTTTTTTCACTTTATAGTCAAGCCTTTTATTTTTTTTTAATTATACCAAATTATATTTTTAATTTCTAAGCAAGAGACCTTTCTTGGTGTTTGATCGTCCTGTTTTCTTTGATGCTTATTACAAATGCATGGTTGTGGCTTGGTTGGTTAAGCGGCTGCCTTTGGCTCAGGTCATGATCTCAGAGTCCTGGGATCGAGTCCCTCTCCCTCTGTGTGCTCTCTCACTCTCTCAAATAAATAAATAAAATTAAAAACAAACAAACAAAAACATTGCATTATCTTCCAGGAACTCTCTTCTGAGTATACCTGTTAGAATTTTATTATCTTCTGATCCGAATTTTCCTTCTCTTCTTAGTCTTCTGTTCTGTTTTCCTTTCCTGGTTCTTCTCTTTTGTGCTGGTTGTGTTGGTTTTCCTCGTATGTCTGGTGATTCTTTATTGCCCATCATAGTTAAGAATAAATGACTAGACTGAATGTTATAGGTGGTTGGCATAGGTTTTCTCTTCTGGGGTGTAGGTTGATCTAGGTCTGTTTTCCCAATAGGCTTTCCCTTCAACAGTTGCTTTGTATATATGGACATGCTCTGTTAACTGCAGGCTTCCTTTTAGGGTATGTAAGTAGTATCCAGCTATTTCACTGGGGCTACCACATTTGCTCTCCCCAATGCTGTTTTTTTTTGCTTTTGAGAATGGGTGGGGCAAGTAGTGAGCACCGCTTGACCAACATAACTATAAGGTAGATGAACTTTCAAGTTATTCTCCAATTTTTAGCCTACTTCTCACTTTCTCCCTCTGTACAGTCAGCTTTGAGCTAGCAGCCTTTTTTGGGTTCTCCCAAAGACTGGCTTTTACCTGTAGCTTCCTTATAACATATACATGTTCAGAACTGTGGCTTTTATTCAATTCATTCTTTTTTTTTTTTTTTTTAAGATTTTATTTATTTATTTGAGACAGACAGAATGAGAGACAGAGAGCATGAGAGGGAGGAGGGTCAGAGGGAGAAGCAGACCCCCTGCCGAGCAGGGAGCCCGATGCGGGACTCGATCCCGGGACTCCAGGATCATGACCTGAGCCGAAGGCAGTCGCTTAACCAACTGAGCCACCCAGGCGCCCTGTTCAATTCATTCTTTCATACACTTCCCATCCACTTTCAGTCTTCCAGAAATGTGTCTAAATATGTCCTTTGCTAATGACTCTTCCTAGACCATAATCTTTACTGATGTGGGTTTGTTTTTTAATTTCCTCATTGTCAGTGAAAGGAGGTGAGTCTGTAGTCTTGAACTAGGAGCTCTGTCTCCCCAATTCTCTCCCTAATAGGTCATTTCGCCTAAACTACTCCTAAGGGCTTCAGTGGCCTCCAGGTTAGTAACTCCAGTGTACTTTTCTTCTGTCTTTGTGTTTCTAGGTCTTAAGGTAATATATATGGATAACCACTCCCTCTTGGTTTCCTTCATACTACATTCTTGTAGTATTTCTCTAACCATTCTGGCTGCTCCATTTCAGTCTGCTTTGCTAGCTTCTCCTCTCTGTGCAGCTCTACATGTTGACTTCCTCATGTGTCAGTATTGATTTCTTTTCTCACTTGATTCTTTTTCTCTAGATAATCTCAGTCATTCTCATTGCTCCCAATACTGTCTATATGCCAGTGACTTCCAGTTTTGTATCTTTGCCTAGATGACTCTCTTGAGTTTCTGACTCACGAGTCCATCTGCTTAGACGGATATTAGGATAAATCATCAGGCACTTAAACTTATCCTGTTCAAAGTGGAATTCTTGATAGCTTCCCTTCCCCTAAATCTGTTCTTACCTTCTCCATCTCTATAAATCGTATCACTGCCCACTCAGTTGCGCATGCCATCTTGATCTGTGTGTTTCCTTTACTCCCTACTTCTAGTTCATCACTCTTAGATCTTTTGCCAAAATAGTTCTCAAATTTACCCACTTCTCTCCATCTCTGTAGCCAAAATACCTTCATTGGAGCTATCATCATCTTTCTCCTAGACTACCACAATGGCTTACTGGTCTCCCTACTTCCATTCCTGGATCTTCCAGTTAACACAGCATTTAAGAAATATAAATTGAGTCATTGCCAAACCTTCTCCATGTTTCATTGCTCTTGGATTAAATTATAAAATTCTTAACATGGCTTAAAAAGCTCTGTAAGAAATAGTTTCTGTACACCTCTCCAATCTCATATTTTTCCAGTTCTCCCTTGTTGCTGTGTTACACTAAATTGGCCTCACTTCTTTAATTTTTCCTATTTTGGGGAGTTCACATATGTTGTTCTTTCTGCCTGTAATGTTCTTTGCTCTGCTTTCTGCCACATATGTAATCATTTTTAAATTTTACTTCTTCAGAGATGCCTTTCCTGATCATCTTCAGTTTACGGTAGGTATTTATACTCCCTCCACCCCCAAGATTCCCAGATATGAGTTAATACATGTATTAAAATGTGAACTTGGCAGACTTTTTTACAAGGATACCAATAAAGCCTTAAGGAATATAAAAGTCTCTGTATTTGATTGTTTGATGTGGCATTGCTGGTATATTCCCTGCTAAAATAATTTAGGCATTTAGAAGCCAGACCCTTCTATTGGAATACACTTCTCATGATGAATAATGAGATGATTGTGGTGCCAGTCTGTGGCTAAATGATTGCATGTTTATTCTGTTTTAATTTTATCTACAGTATTGAGGAGGACTGTTCAAACTCGTCCTGCTCCAAGAATTCCTCCAACTGTGGAAATAATTGAGAAGGAACAAAATTGGGAAAAAAAGACCTTACCTACTGACACAGACAATCAGAATTCAAGTGAAGAGAGTCGTCTCTTCACTCAGAGGTGGAGGGTGTCTCACATGGGGGAAGATCTGGAGAACAAAGCCCAGGCTCCTTTTGTTAACCTCTCACAGCCCTTCTGTAGTTCCCATTCAAACACTCAGCAGACCAGAATCCCCGAGTTCTCAGAAGAGCCCCTGGTACTGGGAGACGGGCAGCAGCTTAGAACAAATGAGGCGTTAATACAAAGAAAAGACATCATGGCACGAATTGCTGAGTTGACACTGCAGAATTCAGCTATCAAGGCACATCTGAATAATATTGGGCCAGGAGGAGAGCAAGGGGATGGAGTTCGGGAATTAAACAAACAAGAGACAAGTCACGTGAGCGACATGACTGCAGTGAGTACCAGTTAAGGGTTGACTAGGGACATTTAGGAATGTAAGTACTTTGCTGGAGCAAAGTGATCCTGGATATCTTCAAGGCTGCTGGTAGAAGGCTTATGCTTTGTTTTGTCCTCATCACGAAATAAGAAAAGTTATTTATCAGTTTATTTAACACATACAGTAAAAGAGGACAACATAAAATAGAAAATGAGGAAAATGAATGAGAAAAATAGGACAAAGGTAAAATGTGTAGGAAAGCTGAAATTAAGCTGCAAATGAAGTTATAAATATAAAAGGCAGAATTAGTATGAGTTGAAAGCCTGCCATACAACTACATTTTAATTGAAAGCATTTTTACTCTTACAGGGGCTCATACAAGAGAATTAAGTGTAGCTGGCCCTCAATTCATGAGGAGTTAATTTTTTAGGACACAGAATGCATTTTCCTATAGAAATGATGTTTTAAAGGATTATTAAAGTCAGACTTTATGTATGAATCATCTGGAGATCTTGCTAAAATGCAGTTTCTGATTGAGCAGTTCTGAGATGGTACTTGTGCATTTTTGACAAGTTCCCAGAGGGTACCTGACCGAGGATTATACTTTGAATAGCAAAAATCTGCTTATTATAGTGAAGGAATTTTGTAGGCTAACCTGGTAACTTAAATCTTCATTTTCTTGTTCGTGGGGAGAAAAGGGATTCTAAATTCCAGCTGGGGAGTGTTTATAACACACGTTCTTATACTGGTCCCAGTGATGGGAGATACTTCCTTTTACCCCTTTGTGAGCCAGAGTGGCTCCTGTCAGGGTTCTGATAGGAGATGGAAGAGTGTTTTAGCAGTGGGAAGGAGCTGGGCAGCTTTATGGATTAGGGGTTCCAGAGGTGATTGCTTCTATAAAGGACTTTACCAATGGTAGATTGAGGGCTTTCATGAGGAAGTTTAGGAAGAGGTGGGGGTGGGGGATAAAGGCCACCTCTGTCAGCACAGGCTCATAGGAAGTAAGGGCAGTATGAGTGTGGAGTCACAGAAGGGACTGGTAGTCTTTTACCAGGAAGAAGTCTTAGGAGTAGGCAGTAGCCATCGGTGTAGATGTGTGTAAGTACAGACTGCCTTAATTCTGAGTCATTGGAGGCATTTCTGTGTTTGCAGAATTTTGAAAGTTATTCAAAACAGGTAACTCTTGGTTTTTAAAAAGGCAACAGAGTTAAAAATTGAGCTTGCCTGCTTTTCTAATTCGTATATAGATCAGGCTAGTGAGGACAATCTATTATTATTGTCCTCACCACCCTCTTTGTCATAATCTGAATTTCAGAGTGATCTTTAATTTAAACTGTTTTGCTTATCTCTTTTTTATTAATGTGCATAAGTTATAAAATAGTGATTTCTATTAGGAATTGTTTTATCCCAAAGGGTTATATTTAACTAAATGAAATAATCAAGAATGACACATATATTCCTCTCAGGAATTTTCATATTAAACTTATGTTATATTCCTTGGGTGGCTTTTTTACTCTACCTCTCATATTCCTTTCCGGTCACCACATTTCTCAAATTAGATATCTGAGGCCAAACATGGCTTGGGGCGGCTGACCCCTGGTCAAGAAGAGTGATAAGATTCCTAGAAATCTTTGCCAAATAACTCATGGTGCATATATGACGATTGGGATGATAGAAGCCTCTCTCGAGTACAGCAGATCCTCTTTTCTGTATTGAGATTCAAACCACAGATCTATCATTAATAGACCTGTTACTTAGAAGGCAGGTCACTAGCAGTACTGTCTTTGCTCATGGGATCTTTTGTGTACCTCAACAGACCCGAAGAGATTCGGGGAAGCTTTGTCCCACAGACATTCTCCGTGGACACAGGGACTAGAGGGCTTATGTGGTACGAGTATCAGAATGATTAGTATCCCTTTCCTTTAGCCCTAATTTTTCAATTAAATGACTTTTATTCTTTGCCTGCTATTCAAGGTTACCTATAGTAAGGGCTGTGAATACTAACTAGCTGGCTCTTAGTGGAAAAGTTAATTTTTACAAAAAGTCAAAATTGTTTGGATTGTTTTTAATGTGGAATTTGTGTCTTTTTTTTTTTTTTTTTTTTTTTTTTAAGACTTTTCCAGCAACACAACCTCTAATACCAAGTAGCATGGAGGAACGGATTGCAGAATTGAATCGGCAGAGTATGGAGGCTCGTGGAAAACTCTTGCAGTTAATAGAGCAGCAGAAACTTATTGGCCTGAATCTTTCCTCTCCACTGGTGTCACCCATTCCATCACCTCTCAGAGCATGGACTGGTTGGTCACAAATTCATGATTTAAGAGCCAGGCACATGGGAGTTTTCACTTTCTTGATTGTGCGAGTATATATTGAGCTGAAAGAAATCTCAAAGCATATATTTCAGTGCCTTCAATTTTACATAGAAAGAAACAGACCTAAGTCACAGAATAAGTGACAGAAATAAGACTAGAAGGCCAATCTCCTGGTAGAAAGCTATTCCATGGTGCCTGCAGTTAATCTTTGGTGTCTAAGTTCTTAATTTGCCTGATGTGTAAATGGGATTCATTACAGTGTATGATTCACTTAGGACCTATGTAGTGGCTAAGTATAAAACATCAGCATCAAAATGTTAATTTAGAATTTCATCAGCAACAAATTACAAGTTATTTTATTAAAACCAGTTAAAACATTTTCATTTGTAAATTAAACTTCCCATTCTGTTGTTTTCTTAAGAATGTGATAAACTAGAGGGGATTCTGAATAACAGAATAGTAACTGATAAATTAGTTGTCATAATATTTACATACAAAAAAATATTGATGAAATGAAGTAGATCTTAAGTTGTTCTTTGGCAAAAATTGAATTACTAAGACCCTAAGGGATAGAACTGTATGAAGGCTATAGAGAGACTAATTTTGGCCCAGAATAAAAGAAGGTTCTAATTGTGAGGGATAGAAAATAATTCTATCAGTAAGGAGTATGTTCCTTGAGGTGCTCAAGTATTGGTGTTTTAGAGGTATTCATCTGTCCTGAGGCTGGCTGAAGTAGGCTTTCTTTAAGGTATCTGCCAATAAGACTTAAAAAAATTTTTTTATTCCAGTATAATTAACATGTTATATTAGTTTCAGGTGTACAATATAATGATCCAGCACGTCTATACATTACTCAGTGCTTAGTGTGCTCTTAATTGCCTTCACCTGTTTCACCCATCCTCCCACCCACCTCCCTCATGAGACTTTTTCTTTCAGTTACAAATCATTCTTTTTTGAAACTTCAGACCTAGAAAGTAGACTCTTAAAAATTACTGGAAAATGACAGATAATGCATTTCCCCAGGGCCCTTTCTCTTTGCTATTCTAGGCTTCTTCAAATGACAGCTTAGTCTGCTGTTCTTCATAGTCACGAAGCGTAGAGGCAACTTCTGATTAAATCACTCAATACATTTGAACATCTACTACCTGCCGCCCTGTTCTGGGCCCTGGGGAAACTGCTTTGAACAGGACAAATCCCTGTCCAGCATTATGAGATAATGTTAGGTGGCGCTAAGTGCAATGAAGAAGAATAAAGCAAATTACTCTTAAGAATAATTTTGTAATTGGGGGGGGCACCTGGGTGGCTCAGTCAGTTGGGCGTCTGCCTTCGACTCAGGTCACAATCCTGGATCCCTGGGATCGAGCCCCACGTCAGGCTCCCTGCTCTGCGGGAAGCCTGCTTCTCCCTCTCCCTCTACCTCTCCCCTCTGCTTGTTCTCTCAAGTAAATAAATAAAATATTAAAAAAAAATAATTTTGTAATTACATTAGACATCTTCTGTTTCAATCGTTCTTTAAGGTTAAAAGTACTTCATGTCTATTATCTTATTTAGTCCCCAACACACCCTGAGAGTAGACAGAGCTGATGTTATAGCTTTTTGATATGTAAGTAAACTGAGGGAAAAGAAGTTAAATGATTTTTCTGAAGTTCTAAAGCAAATTGGTAAATTTGCAAACTGTGTTCTTTTCATTCCAGTGGTTATATCTCCAGAATATGCTTTTTTGGTAATATCTCCAAGATATTCCTTTTTAAAAGTAAAATTCTTGGTGTCACGGGTACCTTTGTGTGCTATGATGATAAAGATATAATCATATGCCATACAAAACCTCTTTGGTTTCTAGGGTAATGGAGGAATATGTTATACAATTAAATACGGTTTCATTACGCACTAAAGCCCTGAAGATCACTGATTTTAAGTAGTGATTCATAAGAGCCTCTGTGAAACTGTCTAGTATAGACATTAAGTCTTAGTAGATAGTAAATATTTGTTAATTGATAATCTAACTTGTGAAATATTGAAAATGAACACAGTTATACTTGCCATTGGCCATATGAACTCTTCAGCCAACTTTCCCCTCCTAAGTTAATGCCTTCAGGAATCTAATAATATAGTAGATTTAGAGGATTTAAAGTTTTATTGAATGACTTCAGAAATTTTCCTTTTTCTTTTTAATTTTTTTGAAAATTTTAGATAAGCTGTTTTTGACAAAAATCTTAAGATTTTTAGGGCTAGCTCTTAATTTCTGTTTTTCACTTCCAGATCTGACATGATACCACTTGTCTGAAGATTCTGGCTTTCTATGAACTGGCATGCTACTGAATTGACACTAGTAATTAAAGTTTCTTGTCTCACAGTTCATTTTGAAAAAAATCCTTCAAGGGTGTCTGTGGGCCATAATGAAAATATAGAAAGAATCTCCAAATTTGTAATGTGAAATTTGCAGTAAGATAGAAATCAAGTTAAATTTTTATTTTATTTTAATGAAAGATAATGAAACTAATATTTATTTTTATATTTTAGAAGGAGGAAAGAGGACAATTGAAGTATCTATTCCAGGAGCTGAAGCCCCAGAAAGCTCAAAATGCAGTACTATCTCTCCTACCAGTGGGATAAATACAAGAAGGTAGGGTTACAACATGCACAGTTATTTTAAAAAATCAAGAATGTGGTGTTTCTTTCTCTTTGTGAAAAAAGGAAGTGCACAGTATTTGACTTAGGTTCAGACAGACTCACTCCTGTGGAGAAAATAAAGCAATTGGAGAGAAGAATTTCTGGGGAAAAAAAAGAGGAGTGAGGAACAAGCCTTAAGTAGAACAGTGTGGGTTGGCTATTGAGGACAAAAATAGGATAATGGCACATATATAGAGTGCTTTATAGGTTATAAAATTAGGAGATAACATATGACGGGGGTACGTTGACCAGTAGTGTTTTTCTCCTTTACAATAAATGAAACTGAAGCTCGTTGAGCTAATTGGGTGGTTTGCTTAGATGGGTCCCATGGTTGGTAAAGGGTGGCACTGAGGATGGACCTGGCTCTTCTGTCTCCACTCTCTGTACTTACCTCGACACTGTGCTACCGTTCAGGGCTCTTTACTCCTCCGCTGCTGGGCCTTCCCCCCGCCCCTGCACATGCATCTTTCCCCTTTAGTGTTAGAAATATTAGAGCATGATACTGTAATGGTGGGTATTGTCATTATACACTCATCAAAACCCATAGAATGTATAACAAAAGGGTGAACCCTGATGCGAGCTATGGATGTAATTCATAATGTATCAGTATTATCTCATCAATTGTGATAAATGGAGCAACCTGATGCAAGGTCCTAATAATTCGGTGAAACTGTGTGGGGGAGTTGAGGGCTATATTGAAACTCTCTGTTCTTTACACTTAATCCTTTTGTAAACCTAAAACTACTCTAAAAAAGGAAGTCTAATAATTAAAAAAAAACAAAACAACTTAGGGTGGTAAAAATATGTTACAAATAATTTACCTCATTTGGACCTAACTCAGCCATTGCCAATACTGAGATTTGTCAGTCTTACATAATTTTTTGAAGGTTAATGATGATAGATCACTCTCCCACTCTCTTTTATTTCTCGTAAATAGATCTTCAGGGGCTACTAGTAATTCTTGTTCTCCATTAAACGCCACCTCAGGAAGTGGGCGATTCACACCTGTTAATCCAAGAGCAAAGGTATGTGATAAAATGTAATTGTGAAATGTGTGTAGGGGTCAGGAGAGTGGGGTGGGGGAAGGTGGCTGATTTAGTGATTTCCATTCTTTTTTTTTTTTTTTAAGATTTTATTTATTTATTTGACAGAGAGAGATAGTGAGAGCAGAAACACAAGCAGGGGGAGTGGGAGGGGGAGAAGCAGGCTTCCCGCGGCGCAGGGAGCCTGATGCGGGGCTCGATCCCAGGACCCTGGGACCATGACCTGAGCCGAAGGCAGATGCTTAACAACTGAGCCACCCAGGCGCCCCTAGTGATTTCCATTCTTAATTAAATTCTTGTTATCCTACAGGTGACATAAAATTCTCAGAAGAAAAGAATTCCTAATTCACCTTTACTAGAAAAAACCTTTAAGCCATATAGTCTCTTTTGTGTTCTGGGGTAGCTAAGGAATAAGATAAAATTCAATAAGATTTCAACATAGACTGGAAATTACTGGTTTCAGGCAAAGCATTCTAATAATGTGGCAGGACATACAGGTGTGCCTTGAAGTAGTAGTTACCTGAGATATTGGTTCCCTCAGTGCTTGCTGTGGCTGTGTGGGATTGGGTTATCCAGAGCCCTGGGGCCACTTTCCTTGTATGCTGTATCTGAGTGTGCCACTGGTTAGAGAAGTTGTGGTTAATCAATGCCATACATATTCTTCATGTGTTCTGATTTGCTGTAGATTAGACCAAATAGTGAGTGCTTCAGTAAATATTGAATAGTTATAGCCCAGATTAATTTATATTCTCAGATATCCCCATTGTCTAGCCCTAGAAGATTTGTCCTTTGCTGTTTCTTATATCCTAAAAAAGTTTTAATAAATAAATAAATAAATATTTATTTGAGAGAGAGAGCGCACACGTAGGCACACAGACAAATGGGGTAGGGACAGAGGGAGAGGAGAGAGACTCTCAAGCAGACTCTCTTCTGAGTGTGGAGCCCAGCCTAGGGCTGCATCCCACAACCCTGAGATCATGATCTGAGCTGCTTAACCGACTGAGCCACCCAGGCGCCCCTAAAAAAGTTTTAAAGAGGCTGTTTTAGGGCGCCTGGGTGGCTCAGTCGTTAAGCGTCTGCCTTCGGCTCAGGTCATGATCCCAGGGTCCTGGGATCGAGTCCCGCGTCGGGCTCCCTGCTCGGCGGGAAGCCTGCTTCTCGCTCTCCCACTCCCCCTGCTTGTGTTCCTGCTCTCGCTGTCTCTCTCTCTGTCAAATAAATAAATAAAATCTTTAAAAAAAAAAAAAGAGGCTGTTTTATATAATTTGCCCTTAGTTTCTGGAATTTAGTAACAATTTTAATTTACTAAGATCAAATAACTTTATTTTAAAAAGTTATTTTTAAAAAGTTGTACCTATAATTTGTATAAAATACTGGATTTAAATTCCTTTATTTAAAAATTAGGTTTCCTCAATCAATCAGGGGACCTGTTGACCAGGGAATCAGTTATTTGGGAGTGGCTCTTTTAGAGAATAAAAACTGCCAGTAGCAATTTAATTTTCAGTACCGTTTGATGACAAAGGATAGCTTCTGTGTACTTGGTCTAAATAATTATAAACCTTAAATGGGCTCATGTTTCTGATTACTTTCTAAATCCGTCTTGCATCTTTGTTCAACAGATTGAGAAACAGAATGAAGAAGGCTGGTTTGCTCTTTCTACCCACGTGTCATAAGTGAAGTTAGTTGTACAGAATTTTTTTTCAGTAGTATATTTTTGAGCTTCCACTCCCGTTTCCCTGCTCCTGCTTTCAAGTTTTCATTTCCTTTTAGATAAAACCTACAAAGATCTTGTAACTTAGTACTTATGGAACAAAGAATAAAGAAATTATTTAAATCTTGGATCTTTTCAAATAAATTTCCAACAACTAACCAATGTACAACCTCCTGTGAATAAAATTTTGATTATAGGGAAATTGAAGTTTTATATTCTAATAATTTCATAAGTATTGTAAAGTTTTGCTGAGTAACACATTTTTACCTTTATCATCTTTATTCAGGTTTTTTTTTTTTTTGGTCTAGTATATCTTAAATGATTTCTTTCTTTTATTTTTTTCTGAAGAATTAAGTTGCTTTGCATGTAACTTACAATAAAATGGCTCTGGGTGATTAAAGTCTGGCTTTCAGAAAAATTTAACATTCCCTTTGATTTCTTTTTGGGAGGGAAGTTACTGTTGTCCATGGCTTTTTCCACCGAGTGGAATGTATAGCTTTAAAAAGTAGGTGTGGGAACATCTGTTTATATTTGTTTATGCAGATAAGAGTGGTTGTATATATCATAAAATTCTTATACAGGCTTTAAATGTGAAAATGGTAATGTACATCAAATAAATAATGCTCATAGAGCTCGTGTCTAAATGCAGTAACATTGATTTAGTGTTTGAAACAGAAATGAGTACAAAAGGTTGCTGTCAACTTTCCCTCCCTGAATCTACTACGCATTCAGAGTTGTTTTCTTTTTTCTTTTTTTTTTTTTTAAGATTTTATTTATTTATTCATGATAGACAGAGAGAGAGAGAGAGAGAAACAGGGAGAAGCAGGCTCCCAAGGAGCAGGGAGCCTGATGCGGGACTCGATCCCAGGACCCTGGGATCATGACCTGAGCCGAAGGCAGACGCTTAACCATCTGAGCCACCCAGGCGCCCCAGGGTTGTTTTCTTCAAAGCACCTGTTTGACTCTCAGACACTGGCTTTTATTTTAACTTGCTTTTTAAATTATCTCTGTCCTTTCACTGGGATGGAAATTCTCAACCTGGTGTAGTGGGAGTAGGGCAGGGGAAACACATTGAAACTACTTGGGGAACTTTCTCAGACAACACTGTCCCTCCTCCTGGAGTTTTTCGTATTCTACGAAGTGTCATATGCAACTTTCATTTGGGCCTCTTCATTGTGGTGGCAAAAATACAATTTTTCTCTGGTATCACTGATTTTATTTACATGAAGTCATCTGTATTCATTTGCATTATTGAAGATTCTTCCATCTGTATTGTACTTTTTTGAAGCTTGGTTTTTAATAAATACTATCCCTGTCTGGAATATAAAACCGTTTTTTTTCTTTTTTTTTTAAATAAGAAACTTTTTTTTTTTAAGATTTTATTTATTTGAGAGAGAGCGAGCGAGCACATGAGAGGGGGGAGGGTCAGAGGGAGAAGCAGACTTCCTGCTGAGCAGGGAGCCTGATGTGGGACTCGATCCCGGGACTCCAGGATCATGACCTGAGCCGAAGGCAGTCGCTTAACCAACTGAGCCACCCAGGCGCCCCTATAAAACCGTTTTAATACTATTAATGTCAAGTTTTCTGCTTGGCTTGTGAATGCATTCTTTTTTTTTTTTAATTTTTTGAAGTTTTTATTTAAATTCCAGTTAGTTAACATGCAATGTAATATTAGTTTCAGGTGTACAATACAGTGATTCGACACTTCCATACATCACCCTGTGCTCATCACAAGTGCCCCCTTCAATCCCCATCACCCATTTCACCCATCCCCCGACCCACCTCCCTGCTGGTAACCATGTTTGGTCTCTGTAGTTAACAGTCTGTTTCTTGGTTTGCCTCTCTCTCTTTTTTCCCTTTGCTCATTTGTTTCTTAAATTCCACATATGAGTGAGATCATAAGGTATTTGTCTTCCTCTGACTGACTTCTCTTAGCATGCTATTCTCTAGTTCTATCCACGTTGTTGCAAATGGCAAGATTTCATGTGAATGCATTCTTTGGACTTAAATTTTTCTTAATGTTCTTCAACTGGTTGGCTGTTTACTTTTTTCCCTTATATTCCTTTAAACTTCAAAAGCCATGATTCTCAACTTTGGGAGCATTGAAAAAAAGACCAAACTGACTACCTTGAGCCCTTGGGATGACTATCTATCTATCTATCTATCTATCTATCTATCTATCTATCTATCTATCTATCTATCTATCATCTGTCAGAGAGAGAAAGTGCTTGTGAGCTTGGGACAAGCAGGGGAAGCGGCAGGCAGGGGGAGAAGCAGGCTCTCCGCTGAGCAGGGAGCCCCAAGCGGGACTCAATCCCAGGACCCTGGGATCATGACCTGAGCTGAAGGCAGATGCTTAACCAACTGAGCCACCCAGGCGTCCCTTGGCATGATATTTTAAGAAGCTGCTTAAGGTGATTTAATGTGCAGCCAGAGTTGAGAACCAGTGCTCGCTGGCAACCTGTGGAACTGACATTTAAGTACCCATCCTGCTAATACTTGTTTTTGTTGATAAACTTCGAAAGTAGTTTAAAAAAAACTCCAAGAATAGATACAGAGAAAGACACAGAGAAAAGAGCTTGCATTCTTAGGTTTTCTAAAGCAGTGCTTCTCAGCTTTGGCTGCCATTAGAGTCACATAGGGACCTTCTAAAATTCCCAATGGCTGAGTCTCACTCCAGACCATTTAACTTAGACTCTGGGAGTATGACACAAACAATATTTGAAGAAACCTCCTCAGATGATTCCAGTGTATAGCCAAGCTTGGGAAACATTATGAAGATATTTATCATCCCATATCATAAATTGGTACATGTTTGGTTTTAAGTAACACTACTTTGGGCCCTCTTTATCAGCTTTCAGAGCCAGCTGCACCAGTGGGTCTCAAAGTATGGCCCTGACCAGCAGTGTCAGGATCACCGAGGTACTTGTTAGAAATGAAAGTTCATGGGCCCTACCCTAGACCCATTGATCAGAAAATGTCTGTTTTAATAAGCCCCTCATGTGATTCTGAAGCATTCTCCAGTTTGGGAACCATTGATCTTAGCATCACAGAGGGGTGAACTCTGCTATATTTGATGATGTACTACATTTGTATTCACTTTTCTAGTCCAAACTCAGATTACTTTTATTTCTTGTGTTAGGACTCAAGTTTTTGGCTAATATATGACTTCTCCAAAATGCCCCAGGGGCGCCCGGGTGGCTCAGTCCATTCTGCCTTTGGCTCAGGTCATGATCCCGTGGTCCTGGGATGGAGCCCTGAGTCAGGCTCCCTGCTCAGTGGGGAGACTGCTTCTCCCTCTCCCTGCCCCTCCCCTGCTTATGCTCTCTCTCTCTAATAAATAAATAAAATCTTAAAAAAAAAAATAAATGCCCAGAAAGCTGCTAATCACTTGCTAAACTTTAATAAAATTTGCAGTTTTCCATATTACAGCTTGGGAGAGAAACTAGATTGATCATTAAATCCATTGTTAATGATACAGTCATTCCTATGCTGTTTAGTGAGATCATTTAAGTTAGCAGAATTTAATAATAATTTACTGTTTACTAAGTGCCAGGCATGGTTTTAGCCACTTCTCATGATTTTAAGACACCTTTATGAGGTAGATACTATTCCTTCTTTTGCAGATGAAGAAACTGAGGTCCCAGGAGCTAATAAGTACCCTCTCAAAGTCACACAACTTAGGCAGGAGGGCCCTGGGATGGCATATAGGAAGTCTTTGTACAAAGCCGACACTATGCTGCCATCTTACAGTGAATATGGTATGGAAGCACAATAATGATAACAATAATAATAATAATTATAGCTATTCTTATTGTGCTGTAACTGTGGTTATCTCATTAAAATCTCACAGGAAAACTGAGTTAGACCTGTTTGAATGCCACCCACCTCCCCTTTACAGATGAGGGAATTGAGCCCTGGAGGTGAAGTAAGTTGCCTAATGTCAGGGTGTATGAATGAGGTAAAGCAGGACTTGAAGCTCTTTTTTTTTTTTTTTTTTAAAGAGAGCACATGAGCGGGGAAAGGGGGTGGGGGGCAGAGGGAGAGGAAGAGAGAGAATCTTAATCAGGCTCCATGCTCAGCACAGAGCCCGATGTAGGGCTCAATCCCACGACCTTGAGATCATGACTTGAGCCAAAATCAAGAGTCAGATGCTTAACTGAGTCACCCAGGCACCCCTCTTTTTAAAAAATAATTATTGGACTCCTCCTAACTTGATCTAGCACAGTGGCTAAAGCTGCAAGTATTGCAATCAGAAAGCTTGGATTCAAATGCCATTTCTGCCACTTGGGCTGTGTCCCTGAGTAAATTATCTCATTTTTTCCCATTTGAGTGAGACATGATATATCTTAATAGGGTTGTGAGGAGTAAGAGAGGTGAGTATATGTAAATATGTTAAGAACAGGGTCTGACATAATAAGCATTCAGGAATGATGACTGCCAGTTTTTTGGTGCACAAATACACAATTTCCAGATTTTTAAAGATATTACGTAGTGGATTCTTTGTGGTTTTCTCAGATTAACAATTGGACCCAGTGCTTTAAAATTTAGAGATATTTGGAGGTTGAAAGAAAACATGTTGAGAATATTATTTGAAAATGTAACTAACATGCTGTTTAAAAATAAGTTTATCCTATGTTTTCTGACTTTTTGGACACCCTGGATATACCATTTAATAACAGTAAAGATAATGTTTTAAGTCAGGAGACTTTAAAAGTCAAGAATAGGGGCGCCTGGGTGGCTCAGTCGTTAAGCATCTGCCTTCGGCTCAGGTCATGATCCCATGGTCCTGGGATCGAGCCCCGCATCGGGCTCCCTGCTCGGCGGGAGGCCTGCTTCTCCCTCTCCCACTCCCTCTGCTTGTGTTCCCTCTCTCGCTGTCTCTCTCTCTCTCTGTCAAAAAAAAAAAAAAAAAGTCAAGAATACTTGACTAAAGAGAACATTTCAATACTACCAACAAATGCAAGGAATGAAGTTTTTGGAAAACTGTAACATAGAAACCAATAAACACAAACTATAATACAACCTTTTTAAAATCAACTTTATTGAGAAATAATGTATATATAACTGCATCTAAATTTAAAAAGAACAATTAATTGACTTTTGGCAGATGACACTACCGCCACAAGACACATTTTTGTCATCTCCAAAAGATTCCTCCTGTCTCTTCAGTGCATCCCTTGGTTTACTCTAGCCCTGGGCAACCACTGATGTGCTTTTTGTCATCATAGATTCCTTTACATTTTATCTAAAAGGAATCATACATTGTACTATTTTGTAGCTGGCTCTTCCACTCACCATAACTGAGATTCATTCATGTTATGTGTTTCAGTTTCTTCCTTTTTACTTCTGAGTAATATTCCATTGTATGGATATTTATCCATTTACCTGTCAGTGACCATTGGGTTTCTTTCCGGTTTTTGGCTATTGTGAATATAGCTGCTATGAACATTCACAGACAAGACTTTGTATGGATATAAGTTTTTGTTTCTCTTGGGTAAATACTTCAGACATGGAATGGCTTGATATATGTTTAACTTTTAAAGAAACTGCCAAGTGGTTTTCCAAAGTCATTGTACCATTTTACATTCCTAACAGCCGTCTATGAGAGTTCCAGTTGCTGCATATCTTCCACATTGGGTGCTGGCAGTTTTTAAAGTTTTACCCATTCTGGTGGGTGTGGTGTATGTGCATTGTGGTATGCATCTCCCAGAGGACTACTGTGTTTACTGGCCACTCACACCTCTGATACGGTATTCAAAGTCCTTTGCCCATTTGAAAAATTAGGTTGTAAGTTTTTTTTTTTTTCTCATTCAGTTGTAAGAATCCTTTATATATTCTGAATGCAAAGTCCTTTGTCACTTATTGCAATAGTGTACCCGTTTTTTTTTTTTAAGTTTTTATTTAAATTCCAGTTAGTTAACATACAGGATAATATTAGTTTCAGGTGTACAAGGTAGCCTTTTTAAAACAATGTTTGGTAACCAGTGACTTTAGGTACTTAAAATTCAGTACTGACCGCTGGCTGCACCACAGAGCAGCTAAAGAGCAAATTGCTAGGGGCGCCTGGGTGTCTCAACTGATTGGGCGTCCAACTTCGGCTTGGGTCGTGATCCTGGGGTCCCGGGATCGAGTCCCTGCGTCTGTCTCCCTGCTCGGTGGGGAGCCTGCTTCTCCTTCTCCCTCTGCTGTCTTCCACCCCAGCCGGATTAGGAGCTCCTTGCAGGCAGGAACCGTGTCCACTTGTATCCACAGCGTCTGGCTCTATGCCTGCCAATGCTAGTCACTTCAGTGTTTGTTGAACTGATGCGTAGCA